ACCTAGCGCCGCTCCCGTCCGCCCTTCCAGTTCACAAAATTGTCAACAATTTCCATTGAATTCAATTTGGCATATCACAAAATTTATGAAGGATAACTAGAGAATGAAAATCAAATAGAATTAATTGTTCACCCGGAGACAGGTTCGATGGATATTTCATTTAACATTTTAGTTGGCGATATGCTCCACAACTTCATGCCCCTTCAGAGGTAACAGATTTCTTACAGCCTGCTGATGTACATGAACATGCCGTAGCCAACTTTATGGCAGACTTAACAGAGTTCCATCTCTGAAATCAAACATAACATATAACAGCACCTTTAGTCCTTCCATTCTACCCCTAAGCAGGCATAACAGAGCTGTGGAACATATAAACAGAAGTAATGCCATTATTCTACCCCTAAAAGTATAACAAAAGTGTAATAGAAATGTGCCATAATCCACCCCATTTCTTAACATTCTACCCCTTAAACAAATCAGAACATAGGATGCCATAAATTCAACATCCTTCCCCTAGTTAATGTACTTAACATAACAGCAAAAATGCCATAAAATCCACTCTTGTCCTGCTGTCCAAATGAGGAACGCATTCGGTGAACAAAACTGTTCCCAGCCCACAAAAGGAGGGGTGGTGTGTGCACTGCTCCCCCTTTTAACAGTAATGTAAAAATCAAAGTTTCGCTACCTCGTACGAGTATTTCCCATATATTTACAAAGTTTCTTTTGCTCTTAAACCACCTCAAGAATTGTACGTTGGAAATCATTAGAAAAACTTAACCAAAAGTCACGAACATGCCCGAACATGTCCCCTCCCTCCCACCGCTTTGCACTGGCGATAATTGCGAGAAAGACTACGGGCTGCAGGGAGAAAGGGAGAATGGGAGGAGAAATGTACTAAGCTCCGACATGGACTGCATTTGGGGAAATATTTGCTTAAATGCCGCAAACCAAAACTCTGGATAGTTGAGGAATGAAGCATGCAGCTGCATCTGCGGCGCGCGTTCAATGCGGAGTACACGGAGTTACGTCTAACGTTTGTTATCCCAGGCAGCATCACCATGCCACCATGCCACCCTATTTCATGCGCTGGGGTGCACCACAAAACGCGATGCCAATACGCCCGCGGGTCCCGTCCCACTGTAAACTTTTGGGCATTGGGGTATTGGGCATAGGAATGGATGCCAACTAGCACGCGAGATATTGATGTGCGCCAAAATATGCCAAATATCAGTGAGAGGAAAGCGGTCGAGAAATGGGGCTGGGTGGTCAGGGGGAAGAGCTGGAGAAAGCTCCATACATTATACATGTATCGAGAGTGTGCGAGTGTATGAGTGTGTGTGTGGGGGGTGAGAGTGCTGCCAAATCAAGCGCAAGGCCCAAAAGTAGCAACAAATAAAATTTTATGCGCTGTGCGAAAAAGTTTTTCTTTTTGCATAACGCTCCAACAGCAGCAGCAGCAGCAACAAGGAGGGAACAGCTGGCATTGGAGTCGAGCTTTTGGATACTCTTTACAGATCTTTCTGCTCTTATTTGGCAAGTCATTACTCAGAGCCACGCAAGAATGAGTTTCGAGAGAGAGAAATCAGACATTTGCTGCTCACTCTCCCTCACTACGCTCGTTGACAGCAGCTCTTATCGCTTTGATCTTAGGATCCTCTCTTGGAGCGAATCACTCAATAAGCACTCTCGCAACCACCAAAAAATGTACACATTGCGAAAAACCACTGAAACTTGTAATATTTAGACTTGATATACAAATTTAATACTTTCTCCGAGAGTGGAAATTTTGAAACAGATGAAAAATATATTTTATATTTAAGATAAATATATTTCCAAACATTTTATTTACTTTATTTTTTTATGTTTAGATTAAATATTAATTCTATTAAAATTATAATTATTTTCCGCATGTGTGTATTTAAAAACCGAATATTTGATTTATACCATAATAGAAGTACGCCATTTTTCTCAGAGTGTAGTTTAACAAAGAAACAGCAGCAGAAGGTTTATCTACTCTGATTTTTGCTGATCGTAGTACTGTCTCCAGTTTCTCGATAATTTCATAATACTCTCCTGCAAAGAGTATGGACAGCAGCAGCAGCAGCATCATTGGGAAAGGCAATGGCAATTTACATGTACAATGCAAAAGTTTCGATTTTATTGTATGGGTGGTGTGTACAAGTACGTACCCGCACTCCCACTCCTTATGGGGGAGGCATATGGGATAGGCGTGCCCGTGTGTGTGCCCGTGTGTGTGTGTGTGAGATGTCTGATTCTGTTTGTTTTCCGTTCTGACAGCCATAGCTGATCGAAACGCTATGCTCCACAATTTCCTCCACCCCCAAGCCACCCCCAAGATAAATGCAAAAAGCAACCGGTTACGATTACCGCTGCCGGGCAAAAAGTCCTAAAATAGTTTCGAAACACTCAATTTTCAGAATGCCAGCTAATTGGCAAGACTTCATTTTCCATTACAGCAAGTTTCCAATGGATATTTCTCGCCTTCGAACCATTTTCTTGGCTAATCACTTGAACAGCTATACAAAAGCCAATTGTTTCCCCCATTTGTTTTGGCAGAAAGCGAAGTAGATGCTCTCAAATGCCAGCTCCTTAGAGCACAAACAAATCGCTGGCCATTTAAAGCGTAGTTTCTGCTACTTATGCATGGCCTTGTGCCGCCCTGTCTATCCATAAGTTGTGCACTCTGTACTCCTGCATTTGTAGCTGCAACTGCAGCGGAGTGCGCTGTGCATGGCCATAACTAATTTGCATATTGTCCGATCCAATTGCATTACACACTCATGCAGCAGCATTCCAAATCAATTGCACCCGAAGTGTGGGGCATGTACTCCAGACAATGGCACCCCAAAAAAATAGAGTTGCTGACCAAAACATGTCTGGACTTGCAGCAGAAGCATCAGCAGCTGCACACGTCACGTCTCCCTAATTAGTGTGTGCACAGGAAAATGTAATGATGTCTGGGCCAACGGAACACACACACAAAAAAAGATAAGCACATGGCCAGGGGCAGATCTGTGCAAGAGAGCAGTTGGCAGCACGAAAATGTGATGTAGGATAAGAATTGTAAACCTTCATGCTTTCCAAACTGCATTTCGATATGAAGTGTTTTGATTCTCGTGTTGTATGCTGCACAGTGTGGCATGGATGTACCCTTTAATCGCGGTGGGGCGGCGGGAAGCACCAGCGCTGGGCAACCGCCGACGTATTAGCAGACCCCATGACAGTTTAAATTTCCACAGAGCACTTTTTTCTAGCAATTTTTTCTCGGCTCTCTGCGGCTGCTCCTGCTACTGCTGCTGCTGCTGCTTCTCGTGGTGGCCAGGAAACACAACGAACTGCCAAATGGCTGGCGCAAAGCGGAAGAAAAACTAAAACAAATGTCAGTCGTAGTTGACGCGTTGCCACCAGGCAGAGGCAGAGGCAGAGAGGCAGTAGGGACACCAGATGTAGCGGCAGGAGGACTAACCGTGGCCATTCCCCTTTGCCTCTAACCCATGGTTCCAGCTGCCAGCGAAATGCAAATGTCATTTGCAGTTGACACTTGACTCAGCACTTCGCACTGTCCTAGGGCACTTTGGGGTTTTCACCTGCATCGTCTTCCCGGGGTATACCTCATTCTCCCCCTGTCCCTGCCGCCAAACGTACCGCCAGTTGTTGGCACAATGGCGGCCGGCAGACAGAGAGAGAGAGAGAGAGAGGGAGGGCGAGGTACAAATAAAAGAAAGTAAAATAAAACAAAAAGAGGGTCGTCCGACTAATGCCAACTGAACATGAATAAAGTCGTGGCCCTTTGGGGAGCGAAGCTGCGCTACCGCCGCTGCCATTGCCAGTGCCAGTGCCAGTACCATGTCGTCGTCGTCGCCCTACCCATCGTTATTCTCGTGGTCGTCATTAGGAGGGCAGACGTCAAAGTATGCGCTTTGTTTTTGCTGCGTGTCAGGCGGCAGGCAGCAGGCAGCAGCGTGTTAATAGCCGGGCACCCGTGGCACATGCATCCACCCGCTCCCCTGCTGCACTGAGTTGACAGAGGTGGGCCGTCGGTCCACGTGGACGCCATGGCAAAGTCAAGTGTTGCACAGTGTTGCCATCGTCTGGCGTGTGTGTGCGGCGAAAGTGAAGCCTGCTGCACAGCAGGCGGCAACTGGCTGACATTTTGTGTGGCAAGCAACCATGGTGCAAGGAGTGAGTGTTGATGCACTTATCGTGGATGGGGGGCGTTGTATTAACGAAACGAAAAGTGGATTAAAGTTCAACAAATAATGGAAATGTCTATCAACATTGAAACTCATGATATATAAAATTAAATTAAATAAAATAAATATTTTGCACATACAAAATATCAGTTTTAACTAAAGTTTAAATTTAATTTTACTCTCGAGATAAAATTCAATTCAGCAGTGCAGTGGGTCGTATGCGTAATTTGATTATTGGCGCCGCCCTAGTGACTGTTTGTGGAACTAACACACTTTTGTGGAGCTTTGGAAAGTTACCGCCAGGTGCGCACCTTAGGGTAGGCAAGTCAATAGAGTGCGCCTACGTGAGGCGGTTATTTTGAATAATTTAATTTCATTTAATTTAAACAGAATTATTTTTAGCAGAGAATTAAGTAATTAATATGTAAATTTTTAGATATTCCCCAGAACAGCTTATTTAACTTGCGGTTACAGCACATGACGAGCACTCCGACTATATACAAATCCGACTCCCAAGGCTGCAAGGCTGACGATTAAATTATCTCCATTTGAATGAATAATCGTTTGGCTTTTAGAAATTTTCCCAACATTCAACTGATTTCGGTGCAGTAAAATAAACAAACTTCACATATTACGCGGGAGAGAGAAAGAGCGACCAGTGCTGTACTCAGAGAGCGAAAGGGAGGAGAGAGAGAGAGGACTCTGATATATTTGTTTACTTTTCAGTTTTGAATCCACAAGAGAGGGGACTGCAATTTCTAGCAGTCGTCGATCGACTGGCACCGCAAGCGGCACAAAAGCGCAGCTCACGCACGATATAGATATAGAAGTAGCACTCGAACTGAATAACTACGATAATGTACGAGCAGAACAGCAGCAGCAGTTCGATGGCGGCGGCAGCTGAGTCTGCGCTGTGGTCTGTGAGCAGGGAGCGGGAGCGGTCCAGGCCGAGTGCCGCCCAAAGGCTGCACAATCTCACGTCGGCCTCGGGCACTTCGTCGTCAGCCTCGTCCTCCACAGCCCTGCCACAGAATATCTTCACGAATCCCTCGATACAGCCATCGAGTGTGGTCAATCTGTCGCACTCGACCGATGTGGTCATTGGACCGATGACCCAGTATCAAGGACCGGTATCCATATACTACATGGATGCCAGCATGGAGGCGCATGCCATGCAAACGGCAGCAGGTAAGTTTTTCGCTACCACGTAGAATATCCCGTACAAGATCGAAGTTCAAGCACAGATCAGAACAGTTTACTTATCTGGCTGTCAGATAAATTTTAAATGCAAATTGCTTTAGCTGTAGAAAATGCTCTGGCAGGGGTATTCCTGGAACTGCTGTGCAAAGAGAGAACACTTAAGAGATACCCAACCCCTCCCTAAGTACCGCCCCGTTTGTTGTTGTTTGTATATCAATCTGGGGGCATTACGAATGCACGGCACACCGCGCATTGCGCATACGTCACGTTGTCTCGTTGCAAGCGAACAAGCATGGGGGACAGAGACACAGAAAGGGAGAGAGAGAGAGAGACAAACATGGCGAGAAACAAGAGTGCAAAACGTAGATTGTGTAAAATGTGATATGGCAAACCAAACAAAAAACAAGAAAGAAATGCGAACAGTCCAGATTACGACTATAAGATACCCCGCTAATCGGGGGAACTAATCTGAAACTAGTTTCCGTACTAGCTATACAAACGCTATACAAGATCTTAAGAAGAGCAGAAAGTTCGGTAGATATCCAGCGGAAACGCTTGCCTCTGCCGCAAATCAAATATCCCCCTTTGTCCGGGCCTGGTGGCATTATTGGCATCATAATGACGCAGCCCCTGCCTGCCACTGATGCCCTCGACACCATACAAAACATGTCGTCAACCGGAGGCGGCAGAGGGTGATGGAACGGCTGCTCGACCATCGACAACTGCGCGGCATTTCAGTTGTTTCTGTGACGGGTTCAGGTGCGGTGGCGTTTTAGTTCCGGCCCTCTCGCTGTTTATCGGCAAACCGCTTACGTGCCACCACCGCTGGGGCAACCTAGGCTTTCTCTCGCCCTCCCTCTCTCGCTCGCTCTGTGTGTGCTATTTTATTATGACTATTTGGATGATTCAACGCTGGGCAATTACTCATAAGAATTAACTCTTATAATGACCTGTCTGATGTGCTCAAAATTGTTTTGATAAGGCGAAAAGCGCTCCCGTTTTTTACCACACACGCAATGAAACTGTTGCTGAAAGTGCACTCAGAGCGCACGGCGCGCAGAAGACGCACCCCAGAGCCAAATCTGACACACTCTAGAGATTCCTCAAGTATGCGGATCCCAGCGAGAGAGATCTCATACAGCGCAAATGTAATTCTATCTTTTGTACAGGAATTAACAGCAGCAGCAGCAGCGGCCATCATCGAAGTCGCGATAATTCCCCCTCGAAGCGTCTCACCCGAAACACTATACTGCTGATCACTCTCATCCTGCTCGTCCTGGCCACAGCACTGATTGTGCTCTATGTGGAGCTGAATCGACCGCGCTTGGAGGCGGGAAACAAGGCGATCTACTTTGGGAACAACTATGACCACGATACGTGTAAGTGGTGACTGGGTAAATGGGGTGTGCCCCATGGCGAAATTCACCAATTCTGCAGTTCCGAATCTAGGAAATGGTCATCTGGTCATCGATCGGATACAGTGGGGCGCCTCGACCAACGGCCGGCCATTGACAGTGCCCCTCCGACGACCCATACCCTATGTCCTAATCACACACATTGGCGTCCAGTCGATACCCTGCTCCAATGTCTACAAATGCTCCATCAAAATGCGAACCATCCAAGACTCAGCGGTGGCGGAGAAGATCCTACCAGATATTCAGTCAAACTTTTATGTACGTAACGTTATACACAAAAAGCTAAAGAAATCCCCAACCAGATATTAATGTGCCTGGCACGTTCATTGGCCATTTTGGGCCTTTTCGCTTTCCGTTTGGCAGGTCTCTGACGAGGGCAACATCTATGTGGGACGTGGATGGGACTGGGCCAACACGTATGCCAACCATACGCTGGCCATTACTTTTATGGGAGACTACGGACGGTATACGCCGTCACCCAAGCAGCTGGAAGGTGTCCAATTTCTGCTGGCCCATGCAGTGGCCAATCACCAGCTGGATGTTGACTACAAACTGGTAGCACAGAATCAGGTAAGAAAAAGCCAAAGGACTCAGAGGACTTCCTGCCTGACATGTTCTATTAATTGCAGACCAAAACAAGCAAGAGTCCCGGCATCAATGTGTATCGTGAGATCCGCAAATGGCCACATTTCTATGGTTGTGGCATGGACGAGACACCCGCCTGTGGCAGCGAGCTGGGCATGACGCGTGCCTCATGGGACGCCAAGCAGTAGACCCTTCCTATAGACTTCCTACCACCTAAGAGCGTATCCAAATACAAATTACATTTAATATATATGCCAAACATAAAAACGACACGAGCTTTCTTTTATATTTCTGGCTAATCGGTTATGCCTGACTTGGGTTTTGGTTTAAAAAACAAAACAAAAACCAAACCGGTTGAGAGAGACAGAGACACATACGTTTATTTATAGAGCAGTTTCTCTCTCTCTCACTCTCTCTGCGGTTCACCCTCTCTCTTAAGTTGTTTATTTAACTGTCGCTCAAAAGCTGGAAATTCCCAAGCCGCAAGCACGAACCGAACCTATCAGTATGTGCATATAGTAGACCAGCTTTTAACACTCTCATGAGCACTGGAGTATACTATATGATCGTGTCTATATACATATATAGCATATATACGCACATATGATTGTGTATGCAAGTACAACCATCATTATCGGTAGCTTCAATGTTCGCTTTTGTATGGGATGGTGGGGGATAGTGTTGTGAGTGTCGTTGTCGCCAGTCTGCTGCTGCTGCTGCTGCCGCTGTTATTTATCTGGTTTTCAAGTTAATTAAAATACTTTAAAAGAAACAAAAAATACACTACAAAAATGATGTTGTATTTGGCAACGGAGAGCAGATCGTACGACCTTTCCCAGGATAATTTAAAAATATATAGGCTGGAGTGGAACTGGAACATCACTTATTGATATGCATTGTGCAGTGTGGCTCTCTCTAACTAAAAGTTCGATTAATATGTAGAACGTTTAACATTCATACTCCTAATTCTAAAATTGGGATACTTTTATCCCTGCATAGTGGGTGTGTCTTATCAACGACCTTCACTGCTGCCACTCATCGTTTTCATTCATCAAATAGCAACGCCCTCAATAAAAATAAATTATGCTCGACTTATACACCGCGGAATAAATTTTGGCCTCAAGTGTTGGCTGAGAAACAATGACGAAAATGCCGCACGTGTAGAAACCAAACGCAAATAATACAACAAAAAAAGGGTACAACCAAAAATAATATAATTAATAATAATTCAAGAAAGAGAAGGAAAAAAAATTGTAAAATGTAAGAGAGGCATGTACAAATTCCAGCTCTGATTGGTATTGGGTTTATTTATAGACTTCATCGGAAACGATTTTTTAAAAATTATTCACCTTTTTTTCGCACGTTTCTTTAACACAAACAAAGAAGTGGGCTGGCAATAAAGGAATGAGTTAAGTCATTGCAAATACGAAGGGAGAGTGGAGAGTACGATATAGTCGAGTGACTCGTAGAAGATCGGTCGATATCAGCACTTGCATGCGTAGCTTACCAGAGGGGTATTTTCTTGCCGCCTTTCTATGCCCTTCTCATCGAACATATATACTATATATACATATATTCTCGATTTTCAGGTATACATTTTGTAGTATTTCATGTATTTAAATTTTTATTTATTTTCGGTATTTATACTCATTTGATAAGCTTTCAACCCATCCCAGAAAGCGCATCTGGAATTCGTTTCGCCAATTTATGGTTAATTTTCTATTGTTACAATTTACCCATCAACACTTTTGCCCGACACTCTCTTCATCAGACTATCAGACGATCCGGCGATCACAAAAAGCTGCCCAACAATAATTACATTAAATTCTTTTGACAAGAAGCAAGTACAATGGGGCCAAACCGAAGTTTTGGTCACTATTTTGTGGGGCGAAATGAAGACAAACACAAAGGCAACAACAAAAACCAATTGCGGCATAGTGCACAAAAGAAAAAAACAATTCTCGGAAATGGTAGCACAATTTGAAATGTTCAAATTTTGGCCCACACGAGTACCGGTAAACAAAAAAAAAAAAAAAAATGAATGCTGTGAGCCAGCGGCCGGGGAGACAGCAAGAGATTTGTGTTGTTTATTGGACGAACAAATAAGAAAAAAAAGTTAAATATGTATGCAAGTATTTGTATACCGTATCTGTGTGTACGTCTAAACAAAAACAAACAGTCATCGTCAGGTGGGCGCAGGAGAGCTGCTTTCCGCCGAGAGAGCCTCCAGCTGCCAGCTTTAGCTCCAGCTATCAGCTACCAGCTACCAACGATGGGGAGCAGCTAGAGAAATATCATTATAAATTTGACTAATATCTGGCACCAGACAGACATGTAAAAAAACCCGAAATCCAGAACAGGTTACGCAGTGACACACGGGGAAATCAGAATCATCCAATCGAGAGAGATAAAACGATCTCCCAGACTGCAACCCCCTCTACCCTACCCACCGCATGCACATGATCATGGAATTCTTGGGTTCCATTACCATGCCCGAAAGAGAGGGAAAAGTGGTCCCAACAACCTGTTGTAACGTTGGCTAAATTAAACTGGTGGCCGGTAAGACTCGTAGAACAGCATCAATAAATACAAAAAGTTTCTTCAGATTTTAGTGGTTCATAATTAGGACAAGGTTTTCCAATATCAGAGAAGTCGGTGGAAAAAATTCTTAAAATATTCAAAATATATGTATTTTACGGAATACATAAGCTGGAGCTTTTGAGGCGCGTTCACGCAGTTGCAGCGCAAAATCAGGCCCAAATCAAACAACTTTTTGTTAAATAATAAACAACGATTCCCATGCAGGCTCTCGCTCTCTCCCCCACTTGTTTTTTCACTCTCTCTCTCTCTCTCTCTCTCTCTCTCTCCCCTACTCTTTGGATCTCTCTCTCTCTCTCTCTTGCTCAGACGCTCCAGCCTGACGATCCGCCGTGTGATTTGATCGGATCGCGCGAACCGCTCAGTCGATCAGAGTCACTCGAACACGCCGCTGCTCGACAATTTCCACTTTGGCGCGCAATCAAATTACAATAAAACGAATCGCTGATCATTGTACAACATCCATATAGTGTGTGTATTATAAACAAGATATTTATGTGCTGCATTGGATACGCGTCGGCATTTGGAAGTGCGCGAGATTGATATCCCAACTTAATTTGTGAGCATTTTGTTTGAGTTTAAAGATTTTTGCTGCTACCCAAAAATTGTCAACAACAATCACAATAAAATTATAATTGAAGCAATTGTATCTGTACTAAAAGTGCTACAGTGAATGATAATGAATGATTTTGAAATGAAAGAATTTCAAAAAAAAGCAAATGGAAAAATGTTCGTTTCGCGGAACAAAAAACAACCAAAGTGAAACACGTTCAAGCGAAAATCAATTAATTTGCACCTACAAGTAGTAGGCAATATTTAATGATAATTTTCGAAAAACAAGTAAAAAAAAAAACACAGAGAGAGACAGGCAGACAGACAGACAGACAGAGCAGACAGCTTCCCCACTGAACAGAACGGAACAGAACCTCGAGCCCAACAAAGAGACTCACACACACACACACACACACACGTGCGCGGGAGAGATGTGTGGCAATGTATTAGTGACAATGGCCGCTCAAATGTGAGTGTATTGGTGCGCTCAGCAAATGTACTGTTCCTCATTTGTGGCCGGTTGTCGGTTGTCATTGTTCAAGTGTTATCTCAAAAGCCCGCTCTGTGCCAACTCTGTGGGCTCCCCACCCCAACCAAATGCCTTGGCAGGCAGGCACCCCCCCTCGATAGTAGAGTTTTATCAAAGTTCTGCGAATTTCCTCTCCCATTTGGTGCAATGAAAGGGTTTCGATTGTCTTGGGAAAGCTGTCACAGCTTTTGTGCACCGGACGTCATAGTTATAGAGCATTATCGTCAGCCAAATACTCAACTATTCCGAAAGCTTCTCTCGGAATTCACTTAAGTAAATTTACTATGTCAATGATTATAGATAATTAGCGTAAGCCTCTCTCTCGCCTCAAGCCTCATGCGCTCGTCAAGCACCAATTTATGGTGCCTATTGAGCAACTTTATGAGTCCAAATTGAGACGGATATACATTCCATACATATGTACCCACAATAGAGTAAACTGCATAATTTTTAGCAGTGCCTGGGAGTAAAGGTTTTGTAAGACGAAATATTATATTTCACAAAAAAAAAACAAATATGTTGCCAGGCCCCTAAGTCAGACATCATTTGACTTATCAACTATGGCATATAAATGAACCATACAAATATATAGAGGAATAAATCACAAGGGAAACTGCCATAATTGGACACTCTGATAACAATAAAACGATTAAAAGCTTTGCAATTAGTGAAATATAATAAAAAAAAAACTATCAAAATAAATTACAATAAAAAACAATAAAATGAAGTGCAAAAAAAGTGCAAATATTAACTGAACAAAGAAAAATCTTCAACAGAATTTACTGAGAATTGAAAAAAAAAAAATCTTAAAATCTAAATATTTGCAGATGCTCACGATGTGATATTTGCCAAAAGCCTTGAGCCCCAACAGTGTCAGCAGATACCAGCAAAAGAACAAGTTCTGAAAGCGAAAATGTTCACCCAATTCTGAAGAAGGGAGGGATGCTAAATAGCAAAACCAACACCACAGCACAAGAGAACAAAGAGAGAGTGAGAGCGCGCGAAGCCAGAGTCAAGTTCTGATTACGTGATGCATGTGAATTATGAAAGGAATGTGAACGGGCAGCCGTTAAAGCCCGATATGAGCAGTCGCATCATAAATCTGTCGACGGGCAAAAACTGCAGCACTTCATCCACAGATTCTGGGGTCATTCTCATCGATAATGCGGCCACCTTTAAGGCTGAGGAGCCAGTGACCAAAGATACGAGTATCACGAGCAGCAGCAGCAGCAACAGCAGCAGCTGTGATGAGGAGCCCCAGTCGGAAGCGAATACGAAATCAAAGCCAAAGGATCCCAAGCGTATCAGCATCGAGCATACAGTGAATATCAGTCAGAGCAAAGGTGCCAAGACCTCTCCCACTCTCTCGGTTCGGAGTACGACCATCTCGATTGTGTCCATCGATGAGAATGCCCCCGATTCCAGCTGTATTGACAGCGACTCCGAAGCCGAGGGCATCCACGATGACTACACCGTCCAGAAGCTGGGACAACAGATCAGCTACCCGCCCAACTCCAGCTCCCAGCTACGTGACCTCAACCAGGGCCTCACCCTCATCAGTCGTCAGGTGGCACCGGGCCAGGCGGAAGCGTCGCCACCCACAGCCTCCGAGGCTGGGGCCATGGCCAAGCAGCTGCTCAACGGTAGCCTGGCCTTAGCCACCCCCAGCCCCCAAACATCAGCCAGCTCGCCGCAGGGCATCGGCAGCATTGCGCTGACCAACTCCACAGACGTGACCTTCGGGGACAAGCACTTCTACGAGGGACCCGTGACGATACAACAGTTTCTCATCGACAATCGGGACAAATGGAAACCCGGCGATGGCGAGCCTGGAGATGGCCAGGATAATCCCGCCTTCAATGGTCGCCCACAAGCAAATGGCGCTGCAGCGGGTAAGTGCCGGTAGATCTATCGGGGTTGCTATAAATCTATCTACGATTTCCTGTTGCCTGAGCAATAGACATTCCTGCTTTGTCTTCACCTTCGACTGGCTCTGTTCTGTTCTGTTCTGCTCTGTTCCATTCTGTTTGCTTTATTGGGGCCCGATACGATCGATATATTGAGCGCGCATGCAATGCATCAGTTTGTTTACTCAAGGGTTTAACGATTGTGCTGCGAATCGTAGATTAGCAGATGGGCCCACACAATTTATGAGATATATGTAGAACGAACAAATATACAATGAATAGTATTTTCTATAAGTAGAACAGCAAAAAACAAGCGACACTTAAAGAAGGAAAGAGAAAGATTTAAAGAAAGATTTTCCTTCATTCACAAGGAAAAGTTTAAATCTTTTGGTCCACTGTTAGGGAATAAATAAGACATAAAAATCGACCACACAAATTTAAAATTTAACTGCGAAAATTCAAGGTCTCGTATGCAGCTTTTCCCCCCACATGCGATTGTTTACTTGATTGGTTTTCACAATTGCCATAATTAAATGAGCCCCAGCCAGAAATTAAATTCCAGTTGTCTGTATAAGCAAACAGTCGGGAAGCGACTCAGCCTCCAGTTAGTTAGCAGCTTTTATTAAGCAGAACCTCCGAACTTAGTAAGGTTCTTCCCCAATTCTGAGGTAATAAATGGAACGTGAACACAGGGGGGGTTTTTTTTTTGTTAAATAAATAACCAGAGCGAGAGAAATGTGGCACGCACTTGTCGTGAGGTATTTCGAAAAAAAAAAGTACACCCCAGTGCATGCCAAAATCAGAGCAGAATCGGAATGGCTTCAGTTGTTCATTTGGAATGATCGGAGAATGTTGAATAGACCGCTCGAAAGTTGCCCCAAGTGCCGCGGGTTGATTGCACCGATCCACAGTCGAATCGGGTGTAATAATGGTCCATGTGGCAGCGTCTTTCATAGTCAGTGCGCGGGCCTAACCGAAGAACAACTCAAGCTTCTGGAGACAACCATCAACTTGAGCTGGCGATGTGATGGGTGTCTGGGCAGTAACCAGAATCAGAATCAGAGTTCGTTGCAGTTGAGCAAATGGCTGGAGCAGAGTCTCAGGCAGCACGAAAAGAGATTGGAGGTGTTAGAGCAACGTAAGAGAAAGCACTCGGGGGAAAAAAAAGAACTGACTCCCAAATATTTGTTCTTTTTGACGCTTCCTTTTTTGTAGGTTCGAAGCTGAATGATCCTGGGCAGCAGGTGCCAGCCATACTCTGTCCGTATCTGCCAAATACTATAAGTCGCAAGGCCATCAGCATAACGGTGGCATTCGTATTGTTAACCACACTATTGGGCATCATATTGGCCACCACAACGAACCTCTTTGGCAAGACATTGAACAAACGTAAGCTCGGCGATGTACTCGACGAATCCCGACTAAATATTCCAATCAATTCAACAATAGGTACAGTTTTTTGTGTCCTCAAATTAAGAGCTGAAAGTGCTCCCCGAACCACACCCCATCTTGCATGTCTAATAACTCGGAAACTAATGCACATTCACTGTTAAATACATACTAAACACACACACAATGGGGGGAATAAACATACCTGCCTATATGCTGTTCCATTTCCACATTCCACTGTTACTAAAACGCGCGTAACTGTACTCTACGAACAGTGTTGTGAAGTGAACAAAAAGTACTCGTAACTGAGAGTGTAACCTAAGTTAAATTGAATGGAATATGAAGAGCAAGAGAGAGTGAGAGAGTGAAATAAAGCTAATTGCTAACCCCACGATACTTTCCCATATGCAGCCGACTTTGATGTCATCGACAATGGCACCCTAGTCATGCTCAAAGTGGCCGAATGGGGTGGCAGGCCACCCAAGACCATTCTAGACCCCTTGGAGTTGCCCGTTCATCGTGTGATCATCTCACACACAGCCGCCGAAGGCTGCGAATCGAGGGTAAGTCCATTCACAGGGACCATTCCATCAATCTTATGTAACGTGTGCTGTCCCCCCCCCCATCAAAGGAGATCTGCTCGAATCGCACGCAGGTCGTTCAGGACTTTCACATGGACAGCTGGGGCTGGGATCATGTTGGCTATAACTTTCTGGTGGGCGGCGATGGACGCGTCTACGAGGGACGTGGCTGGGATCGTGTCGGTGCCCACACCAAGGGCTACAACAGAGGCAGCATAGGCATCTCTTTTATTGGCACCTTTACGGCCATCAGGCCAGCGCAGAGGCAGCTCAAGGCCTGCCAGCTGCTGATTGACAAGGGAGTGCAACTCAAGATGCTGGCGCCCGATTTTCGGCTGTACGGACATCGACAGCTGAGTGCCACCGAGAGTCCTGGCGAGGAGCTGTACAAGATCATCCAGACGTGGCCACATTGGTCGCACGAGATCTAAGTTCTACGTTCTGATATCTAAGTTTATGTTAAGAGTTTTTGTTAAGTGGAATGGCATATTGTATTATCTATGTTAAATAAGAGTCTACACACACACACAAAAGGAAACTCCCATTGCATTTTCATTTCCAAACACACACAAAAAGAATTACCTCATCCATTCCGTTGCCTGTGGTCTCCGGTCCAGTGTGCCGTCATGTCAAAAAGTGTCCAAAAGTGTTGCCTAAAGTTGAGTTGAATGGAATATCTGACATGTATGTACTCTACTCTATCAATACTCTATCTACGCCACGATTCCCCAGCGACTAATGATGAACTCTCTCGGTTCCAGTTGAAGCCGATATTGTGATGGATGGAGCTCTAGAGATAGTCAAGATCAAGGACTGGGGCGGCATGCCAACGAAAGGTAAACCCGTTCTGCTCAATCTGCCCGTTTCCCGGGTGATCATCTCCCACACCGCCTCCGAGGGCTGTGAATCGCTGGTGAGTGGAATTAATGGCGCCCAAGAGAACTTCCCTTGATATCTCCGCCTTGCAGGAAGTCTGCTCGTATCGCGCACGTGTGACCCAAAGCTATCACATGGATAGCTTCGATTGGGATCAGGTGGGCTACAATTTCATGGTTGGCGGCGATGGTCGCGTCTACGAGGGACGCGGCTGGGATATTCAGGGCGCCCACTCGCTACGACACAACGTGGACAGCATTGGCATCACTTTTCTGGGTAGCTTTGAGAAAATCAAGCCTACAATGGCCCAACTTCGGGCGTGTCAGCTGCTCATCGAGGAGGGGGTGCGCCTCAAGAAACTGAAGCCGGACTACAAGCTCTACGGACATCGCCAGCTGGTGGCCACCAGGAGTCCCGGCGATGAGGTCTACAAGATTATACAGACGTGGCCGCACTGGGAAGATGATATGAGGCCAAAGAAAAATGTTTTATAAATAAATGTGCTATAAATAAATGTTATATCTGTATTTAATCAAACAAAATCCAATAAACATTTATCAACAACATAAACAAAATTGTGTAATTGTGTAAACGGTAAATCCTAACCCTCACTAGTTGCTAACATTAATACCTAACCAACACTAGTTCCTAACGTTAATGCCTAACCAACACATTCATTGCTTTACCCACACTGGACGCTTTCCAACACCAATCAACATTCAAATGTCCCAAATTCATTCTCTAATCAAAACCCCACACTCTCTCTCTCCCGATATTTGTAACCTTCAGATCAAGACAACATTGGCGGCGGCCTAATCCTGCGTTTTGTCCACCGTCAAGCCTGGCTGGCCCAGCCGCCGCAGAAGACCCCGCCTGATCTCACGCTGCCCGTCGATCTGGTCATCGTTCTGCCCACCAATTCGGACAACTGCACCACCCAGGCCCAGTGTGTGCTGCGTGTGCGCCTGCGTCAGACCTTCGACATTGAGTCGCTGCAGGAGGACGACATTGCCTTCAACTTTGTGATTGGAGGCGATGGCAATGTCTACGTGGGTCGCGGCTGGGACCAGGTGGGTGCCCACATGAGTGGCTATAATGCGCGCAGCCTGAGCTTCGCGTACATCGGCTCGTTCCAGAACCAGAAGCCGTCGGCCAAGCAGCTCAGCGTCACCCATCTGCTGCTGCAGCGCGGCCTCAGTCTGGGCAAGATTTCGCCCAATTACCGCTTGACGGGGGCCAGCAAACTGGAGCCCAGCATCACGGATTACAAGGCCGAGCAACTGTACCAGAGCTTTGGCAATTGGACCCACTGGTCGTGATTAGTTTAAGCCATTTACTAGCAAGTAACTAGTGCAAGCAGATTTGATATTGTAATATAGTTTCTCCCCCTCTCCTTCTTGAATGTATGTGGCATATACGGTTTAGCTAGACCTTCGATTCGCTCGAAATCTGATGAAAATGTGATATTATATTGAAAAGCAAAAGCAAATGCAAAATGCGATTAATTAAACGTGTTTCCATTAAACAGGGGATGACCCACATGGGGGTCGAAACTGCCTTTACCCTGCCTGATAATGAGCATCCAAGAATCTGTGATTTCGCAGCGGAAAATGTGACTTAATTGCCATTTCATTGTGTCTTCGATGCCCATCATCTACGCAGCATTTGAAAGCAGGTTGTAAACGCCCCATCATACCAAAGGGGATTCCCACATCTTCAGTCTCTAGTCGCGCTGCTTAGAGAGGCGAGAGGTCTTTGTGGCGCGTCTTCAAAGTGGGCGGCGTTTGGGGTTCGCTCAACCTTTAGTTAAAAATAAACACCCTATATTGTCAGAGAGCTTTTTATGGCAAACGACAGACAAATCTTTATACATACATACAAGTATATATGGCAAACGACAGACAAATGTTTATACATACATACAAGTATACATATATGTGTATATATAAGACAGTTATCAAAAAGCTCTTCATGGCGATCTTGGCGCTGCCACGGCGCAGCTCAGAGCCGGGGATTTTTTCATCTGTCAACAGTAAAAGCAAAAATAAAACCCCAAAACGAGCAAAACTTGTTGGAGAGATCAACAACAAGTGGGTGCCGGACTCTGGTTGGTTTAGTTCCCGTCGAGCAGTTGTCTGGAGTAGACCCCAAAATGCAGAAACCCGAGCAAAACAATCTCGAAACTGAGCGGAATACAAATGTAAAAAGATTCACCAGGGAACTGATCCTTCTCTGTGTGTTTCTGCTAATGCTGGTGGCCCTGGCTGCCGGATACTCCTATTGGGTGTTGAGTGAGTGGAATTCAATCTGTTGAGTCTAGGGAATACATGTATTAATAACTATATTGTCTTTGGTTTAGCCCATTCCCCAATGAATTCTAACAAAAACCTGCACATACTCGACCGCAGCGAGTGGCATGGAGAACCACACAGCGATAAATACGAACACCTCAAGTTACCCATCTCGAATGTAATAATCAGTCACACGGCCACCGAGGGATGCGAGACAGAAGTGAGTGACGAAAAAGAAATTCCCCTCTTCGTTGACGCATTGATAAAATCCCCAATTTTCCGTAGGAGATTTGCATCTATCGCATGCAGACCATTCAGGGCTTTCACATGAAATCCCTTGGCTGGGTGGACATTGCCTACAACTTTCTGGTGGGCGGCGACGGGCAGATCTATGTGGGACGTGGCTGGCATGGCCAGGGGCAGCATGTGCGCGGCTATAGTGCCGTATCCATAGGCATTGCCTTCATTGGTACCTTTGTGAATGTGGAGCCGCCAGTGCGACAAGTGGAGGCGGCCAAGCGTCTGATGGCCGAGGGTGTGCGCCTGCACAAGCTGCATCCGGACTACCACATCTATGCACATCGCCAGCTCAGTCCCACCGAGAGTCCCGGCCAGAAGCTCTTCGAGATGATCAAGCACTGGCCCCGCTGGACACCGGATGTGACACAATGTACGCATATCTAAGGACATGTCATTAAAATGGCTAACTAATGGCTAATGTCCCATTTTTATTTAAGTGCGCTTGCTTGGAAATGCCACACTGAAGTTCGTCACACGCGCCTACTGGCTGGCCCAACCGCCCCAACGGACACTGCCTCCTCTGAAGCTGCCCGTGGCGAGCGTACGCTTGGTGTCCACCGTATCGCCCGCTTGCAGCACCCAAGCAGAGTGCGTTTTTCGTGTGCGGCTACTCCAAACGTATCACATCGAGAGCAGCGGCTACACGGACATTAACTACAACTTTGTGATTGCCGGCGATACGAACATCTACGAGGGCAGGGGCTGGGATCAAAGCTGCGAGACTGAACAGGATCACGTATCCGCCTCGAATGAGCTTGTGGTGGGCTTTGTGGGTGCCTCAGCTAGCAACAAGAAGCTGGCACTGGAACTCATAGAACAAGGCATCAAGTGGGGTCACATAAGCAAGGATTATACACTTAAAGACAACACAACATAGACATACAGGAAGCAAGACAGCGGGACAGCAGCAGGCAAAGGATTACCAGTGCCATCTATAAAGTGATACTAGACTTAAGCACTATCCAACATCTCTCACGTACTTATTATAGAAATAAACATGCCTTTAATGAGTGTTTTTTTTAACAGCTTTTCGTTTGAACTTTTGACTACAATTCTAACATTAGTTTTTTGAAAGCAGATTTTTGAACCTTTTAGCTTAACGATATATACAGAATATACAGAACGATTGACGGGCGGCAGACAGTTTGTGCTTGCACAACATTTTGTGGCTAACAAATGAAATTCGTGATTCGTAAATTTGAAACATTTTTTGGGGGCAAACACTCCTCCTCCTCCTCCTGGTTGGCTTCTGGCTACTACTACATAAAACTTAGACAATTACACTACATAATATAATGAGACAGAACAGCATCCAATTGCACTACCAATGCCAGGTTATAGATTCCAGTTGGGGGGCTGGATTAATGGTCCAGGATGCGCATATTGCCAGAGACAATTTTATTCTCGAGTATGGCCCCAGCAGGTATATCAATACGATCGCCATGATTGGCAATGATAATCACAGTGCCCTGTTGGTACAAAGAATATCAAAGAAATAAGTCGTGAATAAACTAAAGAAAACTCTTTCGAACTTACCCTCAATGAAACGCCACGGCCAAAGGTCACATCTCCACTGACCGTCAAGTGATCCAGCTCAATAATGTCGGGTATGTTGGCAAAGCGACCCAGAAACTCCTTAACCTTGGAAAAGTGATTCTCGCCGAGCTTAACCAGCGGCGTGGTGGGGAACATGCGCTGCGGCGACATCACCAGGCTGCCGTACTTCAGCGTATACAGATTGGACATGACCAGCAGCAGATCGGAGGATTTCTTCACGGGCAAGAAGCGCGACCGCGGTACATTGATGCCAATGGCGCCATCAAAGCACTTCATGGCCGAACCCACAGCCGTCTCCAGTTGAATGACACGCAGACCCGTCTCCAGCGTCTTGTTGTTCACAATGATCTCCATGCTCAAGGTGCGCTCCCGCAAGACACGCTCGATGGCTACAGCAGAGAAGAAATGCGGCAGCATTTTAGGCATTGAAAACGGAAAGACAAATGATATTCCATACATGAAAGATTGGCCCAAATGTTGTTGGTGTTGAAGAACTTGAAGGTCTTCACCGACTTAAAGTCATCCACATGCTCTGGCGGCACTTGGGCAATTTCCAGCAGCCGCAGCTTGTTCTCAAACTGAATGAGAGTGCCACCCTGAGGGGAAAAACACAAAGACACGATAATTTAGATTTTCCTCAATATTCCATTATCTGTACGCACCTTGACATCAGCGCGTGTCTTGTCGGTTACTTCCATGACAAATTCCACGGGGGTGCTGGCCCGCTCCTCGCCCACCAGCTTATTGAGTATATTCAGATCCACGGTGGCGCCCAGATTGTCAATGTTCGAGAGGAAACAGTATTCGCGTCCCTCCTCGATGAACTTCTTCAGCAGCCCAGAGTGGCGGAAAGTATCATAAAAGTCACCGTGACCAGGTGGGTACCAACTAAAGAAGGAGAAAAATGTAGTTGCTTGGGTGAAAAGAAATACGAATAACGCTTACGCCTCCATATCCTTTTCCACATCAAAGTCCTTGGCCACGGGCAGAAAATGCTCGCGACTGATGCGCGGAAAGCAGCTCTGATTGAAGGTGTGTATCTGCACGCGGAAGCCCTTGTATTTGCGCACAATCTTCTCCGTATCCTCATCGGTGTTGAACGAATTCATCAGCACCAGCGGCACATTGGCATCGTAGGTCTTGTTCAGATGCTCGATCTGCTGCACTGTCAGGTCCAAGAATGTCAAATCGGAACGCACAGGAATGACACTCTTGGGCCCATGGCAGCCCATGGAGGTGCCCAGACCGCCGTTCAGCTTAATGACCACCAATTTGTCCAGCATATTGCGTATCTAACGGAGTCATAAAAGGCACATTAAGAACAGAAAAATCCACGTCCCTCTCGGCTAAGAGGCATTGTTTGTGTTAGAGAGCAAAAAGGAATTGGTTAAGCTGCAGTGAGAGCCGTATTTCATTAGGGTTTTAGTACTACAGCGTGTTCTAGTTACAAAACTAAACTAAAGGAATATAACCAACAACTAAAGAAGCGTCCAAAAGCCCAATAAGAGTTAGATTTTTAGCTGAGCAGAGCTCCAAGTACAGAGAGATAGAGCGAAGCGTAGAGAGATTTTGTAAGGGTAAGTTTAAACGCTTTTACCTCATTCTTCTATATATATTTACATATACATATATATAGTTATACATATGTTTGTGTGTGTGTGTTGGCCAGTTAATAGCCAGAGGATTTGCCGCAGATTATTGTGGCAACAATGAGTATTCAAAACATTTCAGTAATCAGTTTTCAAATCAAAGATACATGAAAAATATGCAAATTAAAAGGAATTAACATCTTCATTTCCGGTTTTTGGTTTCTAGTTTCTAGATTCTGTGCGGGATTTCTTGGAGTTTTTTTTAAATATTTTTTTTGTGGGTGTTTAGAGGGTTTTGGTTCGATGCTTGGATCCCTGCTGCATACCTGCTCATTCTTTGGCGACTTGAGGTTCGAATAGTTCATCACAGCATTCTCTGGCAGCTTCTGGATCTTGTTCCAGTCCAAAGCGGGACCCTCTGAAAGGCATAAGCATTAGAAAGATCAATCAAAGGGGGGGGTTCCATATCACGACTTACCCTCCTGCAGGAAGCGTCCAAAGAGATCCGCAAAGCGACCCATCTCCGCCTGTAAGGCTGGTCGACGCACCTGCTCCGTTGTCTGCAGCAGACGGTCCACATCGTTCTCCAGCAGCCGCAGGGCATCCCGCTTGGTCACCTCATGGAACTCCTTCGAGTCGGAGGGCACACGCTGGTGGCCACGCACCTGCAACAAAAAATGAAGCAGAGTAAGTACAGTTTTTTTTACACTTGGAGAAACTTTCGTGACAAATCGTTTAAGGCAGGCAGCCAAGCGCATCGAAGGCACTCAAGTGACAAAATCACAGTGGAAATTCAGTGGCTTCTGAAGCTGCTTTCGTAAGCCTCCAATTAGAGCTTGTGCTCCCTCATCCAGACGATGGCTGTGCTAAAGACCACACAGTGTTTCCCGAAACCTCGCGATGACAAGTCGCTGGCTATTTTTGTGCCTACTGCTCTATGTGGGCGCACAGGAGGCGATGTCTGCCAGCACCGTCATGGATAACTTGGGTGATGGCTTGAAGATGGCCGGACAAATGTTTGGCATCAACACGGCCGCCGATGTGGCCAATCTGGTGGCCAAGGCCTTCTCGGGCAACGCCTCCAGTGGCAAGCCCTCCGGTTTGTTGAGCATACTACAGAACGGCTTCCAGCCACCAAAGTATCAGCCGGAGGATCAATCGGAGCAGCAGTCAGAGCCAGAGAATGCCCAGGAAGAGCAGGGTGACAACACGCGAAGGCCTCCTCTTATGGCCAACTTCGATAGCGGCCAACTGCTGACGAATATGCTGCGTATGGTGGGCTTTGATGCCCGAAAACTGGGAGCTCTGGCGCTCAATGCTCTCATCATGATTGCCCAGGCGGTATGTCTATGTTAGATGGAGAGATACATCCACAGAATTTGCCGCCATTTAATGTTTGAGGTTTCATTTCCCCAAAACACATAACACATTCAATTCCCTTTGGTTTTTTGCTGCAAATCTTTTGATAACTTTTTAATTGGTTTTTTTTCTTTGGCGACAGATTGGCAGCACTTTGATGCAAGCAACAAGGGGTGGTGGTGGTGGAGGCGTCGGAAATTTCGGTGCGGCCTTCGAGGGACCTGAAGCGCTGTACGATCCCAACGAGCATCAGCCGCGTTCTTTGTCAATGGGTTCACCCATTGATTGGTTTCTCCAGCGACCTGGGGCGCACAGCAAACGATTGCTGGGCCGCATAATGGACAAGGAACTGCCCGAGCACATACTGGACATGATCGAGTCCAAGGAGGACCGAGAGATGGGCCACGAGGCCGGCTGCCTGAAGATGCTCATGTGCAAGAGCAAGCCCATTATTTGGGGCATGCAGAATTCCCTAAAGAAGCGTCTGGCTGGGGAGCCCGAGCTGCCAGAGGAGCAGGATAATCACAGCTTTTTCAACAAGGGCATATTCTTCAAGTATCTGCCCAGCCTGAAGGACTTCAAGGAGCACAGTGCCGACTGTGAGACGCGTTTCTATGAGGAGTGCCCCAGGAATGCGACAACGAAAGAGTATTAATATTAGTTTTTTCAATCGAAACCCATACAGGTTGAACCCTAATGGGTTCATCAATAAATACGCTGACTATTTATAGCTATTTATATAATGAGTTTGACATTCGAACATTTGTTTTGAAGGATGATCCCAGAGATAAGCCCCCGGATTCTCCTCCGTAATGGGTTTACCAGAGTCTGGCGTAAATGGACCATGAAACGACCTCTAGTGGGTGCAATTTCCTTGTGTAACATTTAGCTCTGGGGATTTGATAGCTAATCTCACTCCGTGCAATTTCAAACATCATCATGGCCTTTATAATTCCCCTAGTTATGAGGCTGCTCCTCCTATATGTAATCTAGCCCATAATCAGGGTGATATTTTTACTTCACGTATACACCCAATCACGTCTGCGTGCTACTGATAATCAAATTCCATCGACAAGATCGAACATACATATGTACGAGTATTTCATGAATTTCATTTCGATTGCGTTCATTCTTGTTCATGTTAGAACCCCCCGCCATGTTGTTCCAAGTTCTAGCCATAACCTTACCCAACGTATGATCTCAACATTTATGGCCACCCATTAATAGTTATTTCATAGGCAACATGCAATTCATTACTAGCATATTTACAGTCGCTGTATGTATGGGTGGTGCGACCTTGAACTCCACCCACAAGGTTGCCCCTATATCTATCTTCAAATAGAAATACAAATACAAACACCAAGACAAGCACACAACTCCAAAGATAACCAAACAATTTTGCTTAAAAATAGTACGCATTTATTTTTGGCAAACTTCCGATTCAGGCCTGACCCAGTGTCGTCTGTCAATCAGTCAATCAATGGAGTGGGGAAAAAATTGCAATCGAATTGTGCAAGAAAAAAACTGATTGCTGCAAACGTTTTTGTTTTGTTTTTTTTTTTTTTTGTAACGAAATGATTACGCAAATTAATGGAGTGGAGGGAAAAACAAGTGCCACGCCTATGGCGCCCAAGATGGCAGACGATTGCATGGGGTTTATTTTTATAACACACACAATGATGCTGATGCTGATGATGATGCTGAATCTGTGCGATAAGACGGTGTCAGAGGGCAGGTGTTTGAACTTCGACAAGGTCAACACATGCTCAAGATAATTGGGCAACGTTTTGTGGTTTGGGATGATGCTGATGCTGCTTCTGCTACTGCTGCTGCTGCTTCTAGCCTTTGTATCTGCCTTTGTGGCGGCGACTCTTTCCGGGTGCAACTTGTGGAAGTCTTGTGCATTCCATCATCGGCATAATTTTTTTTTTTGTATATGTATCTGTGTGGTTGATGATCCCCAAAAATCATTTCCGAGTTGGAGGGGCAACACAAGCTCAGCTGTTCGGCAGTTTTTTTCGGCAGGTTACCAACCCAAGCCCTCTAAAACAGACGACACACACATCGTCTGGGGGGGGGGATCCGGTAATTAAAGTAAATTGTACGATTTTTGCTTTTGTGTTCTCTTTTGTCTGCTTTGAGATAAGATACGAACTGCTTTCGAGACAGGCAAGTCATTTTTGTATCTCCCTTCTTACGGAACACTTAAATCTTACAACGGAAATTCGAACGACAAACATTTTTGAAGTGAGTTCAAAATTCGAAATCAATGGACAACTATCATCAAAGAGAGTCTTCTGTTTTGATAAAATTGCAAGAATCCAAGGCAAGATGTAAAAACTTCACCTAAAACATTGCTCTTAGGCGGAAATTCTGATTTTCCTTTAAAGAACTTTTAGTGGTTTAAGAGATAAAACAAGTTCGTTCGCTAAGCACTTGAAACAGTTTACTAAACGATTATGTGGCTCATTAACGTCGCGAACTTGGACCAAATATCGTCTTACGAAGGGTGTTTCGGTTTGAATTTGAGAACTTACACCGGCACGCTGAAGCAAAACATCAATGGGCCTGATGCCAGATGTCATTGTGAACACTTCCAAAAGAACACTTGCGCGAATAAAAAGGGGGGGTTGTTTTTATTAAATTTTTTTGTTAATTATTTTATTTTTTGCACTTGAGAAACGCGCGCGCGTTTATTGTCGCTAGTGCGAGTTGAGCGGAAAAAACAGCGGAGAGAACAGAAAACAGCAGAGAGACAGCACGACAGAACGAAGCGCGCTGGTCGAGTGTGCAATTGAAAATAAAGCTAGGGTTCCATTTGAATTTTAATTTCAATACGGAATTTTTCAAAACGCGTACGGGCGGCAGAAACAGCTACAGCGACCGCGCCAGCGATGGACGCGACAAAAGCAACAAGTGATAGCAAGCTGCTTTTTCTCTTTGACTGTGTGTGTCAAGTGCTGAGCAAAACAAAAACAAAAACCAAGCCAACAAAGCGCCGGCCAAGGTATATTGTAAGGTGAGGTAGGGTTGCGCCCAAGTAATTATCTTAGGCAAACCAATTTGGCCAAACTCAGAGAGTGCAAGAGCCATACCTTTCAACTTTTATACCTTCAAGTCGACCACCAATTAATGAGCACAGCAGCAAAGATAAGAGAGGGAGGGCACGTAGTGGTCAAGTGGGTGGAGAACAGCACGAAGAAGATGAGGCTCAAGAGGAAGCAAAATAAATATGAAGAAGCATCATGAGAGTACGAAATGTAATCAGTGGCATTAGAAGGAGTGGGAGTGAGAGCCAATATCCGCGGGCACTTATCAGCACACACCCACACACACGAATGTATAGAGCGCTAACGGAACTGCTCAATCATATCAGAAGGAGTTATCAGCACGCCCCACAAATATTAACGATTACATTGTAGTTTGGGGGCCAATTAATAAGACGTAGCAAATCGTATTGTGTATTTACAATCATATTTTTCCACAATTATGGTCGAGTCATAACGATTTGCCCAATGTTGGGCCCCCAAAAAACCACACAGCACACTCGAGCACACACACCCTGTCGTGGACACAGCTGTGCGACACATGCCAGTACTTGGCGTCGCGGCTAAAGGGAGGTCACTTGAAGGTTAACGCTAAGCAAATGCAAGAGTCTCATAAAAGGGGAAACAAAACCAGTCAGAGAGTCGCCGAGTCAAAAGGGCGGCGTTACCTGAGATCCGGAGAAGAGAGGTGCCTATAAATAGAGCCCATGGAACCGGCAAAATTTGTTGCATCCCATCCACTGGATTGTAGGAATGCACTCACCTGTACAACCGCAGAAGAGTGCAGAAGAAGGAGGGAGAAGATAGCCCGCTTGCGGGCGGAAGTGCTGACCCAAAACCACTCACCTTTCCTTCATGGGGCACATCCAACATTTTGATTTAGTATTTAAGCGTCGATACTATGTTATCTCTTGATTTTGCACTCAAACACACACAAGAACCAAAGTGCGCGCCCGAACGTGTATAATCGAAAAGTTTGACGTCTGGACCGTTGGGGCAAGATAAAACAAGATATTATTTTATTGTAATTTGCGTCGCGTTCTTCCTCTGCTAGCAGGTGGAACAGCTGTTGCGCTTAACAGCACGCTGTTACACACTTTTAGATGTTGCAGCCCTGCCAATCAGCTGGTCGAAGTGACACACCAAAACAAAGCGTAGAAGAAGCCCTATTTGTTGGACACAAAATAAAACGATATAAAAACAGACATGGGTGCGTGCCTATCCTGCTGCGGCAACAGTGCCGAGGAAACCAATCTGATGCCTTCGCCGGTGAGACAACAAAATAAGCTCCAAGCGCTATAGAGACCATATTGAAACGATTCTTTGCAGGAGGAGCGTCGTCAACAGCAGCTGGACGCTGCGGAAAAGCGTCGCCAGGAGAACGAATCGCGTGGCATCAGAAATCCCGAGAATGTACGCAGACAGCAGCAAAAGGCGGTGGAGCAGGAACGTCGCGAGCGGGAGGCGGAACGCCAAGGCCAGGCCCAGCCCACACTGAAGGTGATTTATTCAGCCACACATATCCAATCCCCCCCCCCTGCTAATCCGAATGTGTTCCTTCTTTCAGTGGCAAACGACTTAAGGTTACAGTGAATGACATCCCCACCACCGCAGCTGCCTCTGTCCGGCTGCTTCTAAAGCAGTAGACGACGACGCCGTTCATCTGTTGTTGTTATCGATGTTATCCGGGGTACCAGGGTACATTTCTTTTGTATATCTTTATATATTGTATATTTGTTAGCCATGTTTGTACCTTAACTATTGTATATTTACACACACGTCTACGTCTTCTACCTTCGAAGCACACTCCAAATTGTTTTTAAAAAAGCGTTAAACTGTGAACCAAATTGCAACCAAAAATAAAAGACATCACCAAAATTATAACAAAAGCGGGGAAAACTAAGGAATTAGTACATATATATAAGGAAAATAAGATATTCCGATTAAGAGTTGTTAAATGTAGAAAATTCATTGCTTGTTACATCGAAAAATAACTAAAAAATAAAACTAAGTAGAAGATGTAATTAACTCCCGGATTTTCCCTTCCAAAACCCATTCAACATTCCGTATTTTCCATTTTCTATGCATTTATTAAGTAAAATATTAAAATGAAAATATCAAAACAAATGCAAATCAAAAGATAAAACCTTAATATTAATATTATTATGATGCATAAAAAAAAGAAGTAAAAAATCCCTCTTTTCTATATAGATTTCTTGTCCCTTATGAAGAGATCTCGTGTCCGTTAAAGCATTCCCCGTCGAGAGATCTCCTCCAGTATATTTGCATGTTCCACTTTATTTACATGTTTGTTTTTTTTTTTTGTTTTTAGTAAAATAATAAAAAATATATAACTCTGTTTTATGCGATATATGTGTCCCGAAATTAAAAGTAGAATTAATCTTAAGATTACATTGTTTTTGAACCATTAAATCCTTTAGTGGATTTCGTGCTTCCACTTGTCGCGTGCCTCGAGCTTCGCCTCCGGCACCAGGGAGCTCTTGGCTCCGCCCAGGATGTTCGTTGTGGCCTGCGTGGCGAGTACGGCCGGACAGACGACCAGCTGAGGGATCTGCCGCACAACAGCGCCTACGGCACCGCTGTAACCCTTCTGGTCGTGCTCCGTCATGGCCGCCTCGATCAGCGTGTTGGCCGAGTCGTTGATACCCTCCTTGACGATGGTGTAGGCATTGGCCACGCCCTCGCGCAGATCCTTGGGCCTACCCTGCCGCTTCTTCTTGCCGCGCTTCGTGTGGCGCTTCTTGAGCGACGGACCCGCCGAGAGCATATCGAAGGTGGTCTCCGCCGTGAACTGCAGCAGATGGATGATGCGCGACGTGATCTCCAGCGCCGCGAGGGCTGTGCGTGCGGTGAAACTCTGGGCACCCAGCTGGAAGCCGCGAATGATGCGCCCGTCCTTGTTGTACTGCTCGATGGGCAGCCGGAAAAGGTCGTAGACGCCTTGGAACAGCTGCAGCACCGCATTGGTGGGCCCAATGCCGCTCAGAATGTTCGGGAGCTGATTGCGTTTGATGTCCTTCAGCCACTCCTTGCAGAGGAATTCGCAGAGCTTGTTCCAGCCCAGGATGCCGCGACGGTTGACGATCTCCCGCAGACAGATGCCCGATCCTTGGAGCTGGGCCAGGCCCATAATGAGGCCCGTGATGGGGCCACGCGAGAGCTCAATCCTACGGCCATGGTAGTCGAAGCAGATGGGCAGTGCGGGGCTGAAGATCACCTCCCGGAAGTAGACGGGCGCCGACTCTCCACCCAGGGGATCATCCTCCAGCTCGGCCGTGGTGTCCTTGCCCTCGTCGATGAGCACATCGAGATTCCTCTCCACAATCTCCCTCGCCTCCAAATCCTGCAGGGCATCGGACATTTTGCTCACCGACATTACGGGCATGTCGGAGGCAGAGTTGACCTCCATTTTGGCATTCGCTGGGGCACTGGCACTGGAGGAGTTCTTGAGCAGCGCCGAAAAGAAGTCCTCCAGAAAGAGCAGCGTATCCTGGTCAATGTTCAGTTTGATGGGCAGAATGGACACGCGCAGGGAGCACTCCTCGGCGGTGCTCTTCTGTGGATTGGGCCGCACGTTCAGGGCCTTCACAATGACCATGTTCTCGTCGAGCCGGCGGGATATGTTGCTGATGTTCGGATGATACAGGAACTTGTTGATGTCCGAGGAGCGCAGGCGGTCGCGTATCTCGATCTCCGAGACGAGCAGCACCTGCCGCGAGGAGTATATGGAGCTGAGGGGATAGGCCTCGTAGGAGAAGCGAATCTTCGACAGCTGTATCTCCACCAGCACATCCAGGTTCCTGCGCGAGCCCTTTGGCTCCTTGGGCAGACCTGCTCCCTTTTTCGTTGTCTTCTGCTCGCTTTGTGGCTGCGATACGCCGTATTTGTACGTGTCCGACATGTGTCCGTATCCTGCGTTCGGGGTCTTCTTGCTGCTGCTGTCATTTGGTTTGGTTTGATCGGGAAAATCCCTGCCGCCGTACATGTGCCACGTGAACGTCATCTCGCACAAAGTGTAGCTGCTCTCGGCCATGGGAAAGTTTGCCGGCGGCCGCAGCAGATCCATCTTCTCGTGGGGCAAACAGAAATGATTGTCCACAATCTGCAGCGGATCCTCGGACACGTAGATCTGCTTGACGCCAAACTTATCCATGCGCGAGATCTCATCGTCGTGAATGATGTCAAAGTCGCGCTCCTCCATTAGTGGGGGGAGCACATCCCCCAGTTCCTGCTGCACCTGCTGCAGCGGCTGCTCGAGCGTCTGATTGTAGTACGACTGAAGCATCACGTTCGACTCAAAGTCGACAATGTTGCATATCTCTGCAGGTGCACTCTCCACAATTAGGGATATGCTCTGCATGTCGCCGGGTTCCTTCTTCTTCGAGGGAGCAGAGCTGACCTCCTTCTCTTTCTGCTGCAGCTCTGCCTTCTCTTTGGGTTCGTCGGGAAAGTAGAAGATCTCGATGCCCTCCTCCTTGCCCGCCAGTTTGTTGTGCCTGGGTCCGGGCGTACACTCCACATCCATGACGGCATCGGCCATCAGTTTGTTCACATGATTCTGGGTCTGATCGTCACACACCTGCTCCTCCTCGCTGCTGGCCTTGGGCTCCGCAATCTTGCTCTCGTGGGCATCGAGGGAGCTCTCCTCGGGCGAAATGAGATCTTTGTCGCTGGCCACATAGCCAATGAGCTGGGCCAGAGCCGCCGCCGAGTCGTAGCAGGTCTTCAGGTGCATGTCGTGAATGGAGGAGCGCAGATCCACCCTCGGCTGCTGTTTGTCAACCTCGTTCAGGCGGAAGGAGATGTTCAGCAGACCCACATTCAGCACGGGTATCAGGGGGCCGTCACAGGACGTGTTGGAGCCCAGACTAAGCACACAATCCTCGCCAATCACACGCAGGGTGCAGCCGCTCATCGAGGAGATGATGTTGCTGCTCAGCGTACAGTAGCCAATGTCGATGAGCGCCCGATGGGTAAAGAACTTGGGCCGATAGTCGATGGCCGCATTCCACACGTGCAGCTGGATCTCGGAGACGAGAGCAAAGGGCACATACGCCTCGATGGGGAAATCGGTGACGTCCATAAAGTCAAGCAACTGATTCAGCCAATTGTGCTCCGAGAAGGCGGGATGATGCTGCAGTATGGCCCCATTGATGCCGAAAGACATCTTCATGCGTTTGATGCGCTTCTCCGGCTGCTTCTTGATCTCCGCCACCACAGAGAGCACCTCCTGCCGCTTCCTGTTGGTCTGCTGCTGCTGCTGCTCCTGCTTGCCAAAATTGTAGATTGTGGGCTGCAGATTGTCATCGTGATGGTCGCTCCAGGCGAGCTGCAAATCCTGCTGGGTATTGCCACAATGAAGCGCCTCCACGTGGCTCAATTGAATGCAAAAGTAGCTGCGATTCTGATCGTTGTTCAGTCCATTGACGGTGAAGAGTTTCAGCTCTTTGATGTTCACCTGAAACTTGCCGCATTGCGGCGTTCGCAGTTGCGTCTCGGGATCCACAAAGTGGGAGAATAATATCAGGGAACCCTCCGCCACAAATAGCTCAAACGAGAAGGCCTCATCGTTGGGCACTTGGGGACTGGGATTGGGTTTGGCATGGGATTTGGGTAGCGTATTCTCGGCCATGGAGAAGTAAATGCTGCTCTCCATGGCACTGGTGCTCAGCAGGACACTCCTGTCGTATTTGTGCTTCTCATATTCCAACGCACTCTCCTCCAGGCTGGCCTCATCCTCCTCCTCCCTTTCGTTGTGCTTCTCCTCCTCCTCCTCATCCGCCGCGTAGTCGTAGTGGGGGGAACGGGGCTCCCACATAAAGAGATCGCCATTGAGGCGATTGTAAATCAGTTCGTACATCTGCTTGGACTCTAGCACCACCTTGATCTGCGGCACATACACCGCGACCTTTAGCTTTGAGGATTGCGAACAGCTCTGGCAAAAGTCATTAATCTCCTCCGTTTCGCCAGGCAGAAAGGAATCCGTTTTATCCACACACCCATCCAGTCCCTCCACATTGGTGGTGTAGCCAAAGGTGCACTTGGAGCTAAATGGGGAACGCCGCTTGGGCTTCTTGTTGTGATCCATCGTACGGTTGTCGTTGTTGTTCTCCCTGGGCTGCAGCACATCGATCTGGATCTTCTTGTTGTTCTTTTGATGGCACTTGAGCAGAGGAGTGGCACTCTGTTTCTCCGCATCGCAGTAGAAGGCGTCCAGCTCCTCCGCCATGATGCTGATGTGCGTCCGCGAGGCAATCAACAGACTGCGAAACTCCACGGCCAAGAAGTCCTGGCGCACATGCTTCTTCCACCAGGGCATCTTGTGGGGATCATTGGGCGCCCGGCCATCGACCACTGGGAAACGCAGATGTAGCCTCAAATTCTCGCACTTCACTTGCACATCCGTCAGACTGCCATCCTCTGGGTAGTTCTCGTGCTGCTCCCCAGAGCTTTGTGCAAAGGGCGACTGGCCGAAGAGGGCGCCCAGTCGATCATAGATCGAAATGTCCAGCTCTGCGGTGCACTCATCGAAGATGCACTCGATCTTGTTCGTGCAGCGATTGTGGTTCTGCTTGAACAGAAACGACGAGCTCTGATTTAGCACAATCTCCGGGCGAATGTGATAGCCATCGGGGCAGTTTCGCTGCCGATCGAACTGTATGAGATGATCGATCGCATTGTCCAGCACCTCGCAAAAGTCCACGGCCGTGGCCGAGAGTGTCGTCTTTGAGGTGAGCTCCTGGAAGTAGCGCTGCTGGTTACCGCTCACAATAATGGGCGCCGCCTTCACCAGCAAATAGTTGAGGTTCTCCATTGGCAGGTGGTTCGACGTGTGGGTGTTCTGGTGGAAGAACTGCTGCGCCGTCTGCGAGTAGCTCTGGTAACTGGCGCTATCGAACACACGCGTATAGCTATCAATGCTAGCCGTGTTCTGGATCAGTATATCATTGTGCAGGGCTATGCCAAAGATCTGGGAGATCTGTATCTTGAACTTGAGTATCTCACCGGACTTTTCCGTGTAGCCCATCTCCTGCTGGGCATTGCTGCAGGAGGTAACCATGCTGGAGCCCGATTCGCACATCTTGCGATGCGTTCCCCGGGAATATACGCTCCTGGTGGGGCCTCCACCAGGCTGCTCTTGGCCACCATAGCTGGAGTACTCTGTGGGCTCTGTGGCCCAGTCGGCGTTCTGCGAGAGTATGCCCGTCATTTTGGTGGGCTCGCATTGCTGATACTCGTTCGGCGGCGTTGTGGACTTGATGCTCTTGCAGCGTGTCTTACGCAGCGTATCCTTGGGCCGTTCGTTGTTGCTGAAGCCCTTGGAGATCTCAACGAGCAAGTGGATTTGCCGCGGCGTGAGTATAAAGTAAATGTCATCCAGTATTATCTCCAGATTCACCTTGGGACCCACAATATTCTCCGTTTGCTTGATATTGATCTGAATGTTCTGCGACCCTTTGAGCTCTACAATCTTGCAGAGCTGCTCGTACTGGATGGGTCCGCTCACCGAATAGATGTGCCTGTCCATGTCCAGCACCTCGGAAGTGTGTATGGTTAGGCCTTCGATGACCAGATTGTGCTTGGCGATCATTGGCAGCGTATTAAAGTTAGAAATTATGCTCTCGTCATCGTCATCGGCCTCCGTCTGGCTGCTGCTCAGATCCCCACCATTGTGATGGGGGCTCTCGTAGCCCGTTTTGTTCATGTAATCCACGTGACTGGCCTGGAAGGACATCACCAGCTTCCTGTCCGACTGCGGCAGCAGGTACTCAATGTTGAGCGTTGTATTCGTCAGCTTGGCCTTGATGCGATTCAGCACATTGTCAATGGTCTCCGCAAACTTCTCCAGCCCAATGAGTGCGTTGTTGTGATTTAAGAAGGGCACATCATCGTCCACTTGCTTCATGCACTCCTCGGCCATTTGCATGGAGCTGCTCACCGACGACCACATGGACTCCAGCATGGTAGTGCCGCTCTGAAAGCGCGTCACCGGACGCAGTGTTATCGTCAAATTGGAGATCTCCAGCGAGCTGTCGTTGGTCATCAGAGCGTTCCATGGAACGGCAACTGCCAGGCAGCCAATGTGTCCGGATACCACCTCAAAGGCCCAGCCCTGATCTTCGAACAGATCATTGAAGGCGTTCACCTTGAGCGAAATGTTTTCCACCACGGCCCTACCATTGTACAGGTCCACCTTCAACTGCTCCAAATTCAGATTATTCTCAAAGAATTGACCCAAATATCGCTGCAGCAGGTATCTGCACATCTTTGTCTTTAGCCCATCCCAGGGATTGAACCACGACATGGTGGCGCTGGCCTGTTGATCGTTTGTTGATTCACAGTTGTTTGATTGCCCTTCTGCGTTGTATTTTTTTCCAGTCCAGTCCAACAAACACACACGCACACGCAGTCAGACCTTTGTTATTGTTCGTCGTCGCTCAAAGACGGAAATGAGAAATCACAGCGGAAGTTTCTTAGCGATAACTGGCGTTACAGCGCAAATCACTTGCATCTTATTGTTGAATTGGGATCAATATTCATCTGGGTCAGAATGGCTGCAATAAAAGAGGGCCTTAGCTGTACGCAAATGTAAAAAAACTGCGTTTAAAAAATCACCAGCAAAACAGCAACACCCGAGGCACAGTGTGACCTCGGATTTATTGATAAAATATACCATCGGGAAAAAAAATAAATACAATTAAATACCTTTTCAGTTTCGAGAAATACAATTTAAATACCATACCATAAGAAAACCAGGGCAATCCGGCGATCAAACGAGGCTTAACCCACTTAACACCCCTCTATTTAAAAAGTTGAGCACCCTTTGTTAAACCGCGGAAAATAAGACTGTTTGTAAAGAATCCCAGTAGCTCCATTCTCCTCTTTACTTACAAAACAAAAATCACCACCGACATCTTTCACCTGAACTGCGCTAGAATTGTTCAAGTTTCATAGTTTTCCTGCGTAAATTAAAATACCCCTTGGTCGACAATGGGCTAACGTTCGTTTCGGTCGATCGGAAACCATATTTCTCGATTTTGATTTTCAGTTTAAAATATTAATAGTAATCAGTAAATAGTAGCTAGGACACATATTTTTATCCGATTGATGAATCAATTCTCTACAAGATTGGTTGATTTTAAGGACTCCCTCTTATATTTTTTATAAAATAAGGTTTAAACAAAGAGGCAACACAATATAGAAGCATACAACGTAAGTGGCCATGAAATGTTTTGTCATTTGAAAACTTGTTGCTTGTCAACCGGTAGTATAGACATCTTTATACCCTAATTCTTTTAATTAGCGAGCGGTTCTAGCGACTATTCTGTGCCGTAAACTAAAAGCTACATATTTATTGCTTTCCCTAATACCAATAGATGGAAAAAATAAAATTGAGTTTTGGGTGAATTTATTTCAACTACACTAATTATGAGCTAAGAGTATGGTTTACAAGTTACAAAATATTATCCGCCCGTGGTCCCTGCCAAATAGATATCCATGGCCTCCTTATTCAGGTGGACCGTCGGGCGTCGCCTGGGTATCGGCTGGATGTGTGGCAACCGCGTCCCATTCACTGCATTCAGACTCAGGTTTGAGTTGGGATCATCGTCATCGCTCACATATGAGCTTTGCGATGACTGTGTGACATGCTGTGCCGCTGGCGGTGGATTGGAGCGCTTCCGTTTTTCGGCAGCCGCCGCGCTAGTTGTGGGCATGTTGTCCTCGCTAAGAGTTGTAAGGACGGGCACGGGGGTTGGTCGTCTAATTGCCGCTGTGGCCGTCGCCAATCTACGTGGGACGGAGGTGGACGTCGTCGAGCTGTTGTCCGAGGAGTTGGCTTGTCGCTGACTTGAGCTCACGTCCGAGACGCTCTCGGCCTGCTTCCTCTTTTGATGCTGTCGCGCATTATATGCCTTATATTTGTAGATTTCCTCCAGTTTATCGTAACAAACCTGACAGAGTGGCATATCGGGCCGCAGTTCTGAATTGATCTGTTGTGCAAAGTGGAGAACTTTTCGATCAGTCACCCTGGTGTATGGCGCTCTGAGCATATGGTTTCCCATGCCGCAGTATCGACGCCCGAGCGGGCTCGATCTGTCGGGCGATTCGGGTGCATGGACCCGTGACCCTGCCAAAGAGATATCCATGGCAGCCTTATTCAGGTGAACCACCTGGCGTCGCTTGGGTATCGGCTGGATGTGTGGCATCCGCGTCCCATTCACCTCATTCAGGCGCACGTTCGAGTTGGGATCATCTTCATCGCTCACATATGAGCTTTGCGATGACTGTGTGACATGCTGTGCCGCTGGCGGTGGATTGGAGCGCTTCCGTTTTTCCGCCGCCGCTGGCGGTGGACTGGAGCGCTTCCGTTTTTCCGGCGCCGCTGGCGGTGGATTGGCGCGCTTCCGTTTTTCGGCAGCCGCCGCGCTAGTTGTGGGCATGTTGTCCTCGCTAAGAGTTGTAAGGACGGGCACGGGGGTTGGTCGTCTAATTGCCGCTGTGGCCGTCGCCAATCTACGTGGGACGGAGGTGGACGTCGTCGAGCTGTTGTCCGAGGAGTTGGCTTGTCGCTGACTTGAGCTCACGTCCGAGACGCTCTCGGCCTGCTTCCTCTTTTGATGCTGTCGCGCATTATATGCCTTATATTTGTAGATTTCCTCCAGTTTATCGTAACAAACCTGACAGAGTGGCATATCGGGCCGCAGTTCTGAATTGATCTGTTGTGCAAAGTGGAGAACTTTTCGATCAGTCACCCTGGTGTATGGCGCTCTGAGCATATGGTTGCCCATGCCGCAGTATCGACGCCCGAGCGGGCTCGATCTTTCGGGTGATTCGGGTGCCATCTCCTATTGAAAATACTATAATTATTATGTTCCAATGCTTTTTTTTCCCAAGACTTACTGTGTTGTGTGTAGTTTTTCCCGCCGATTTAGACGCCGTACGCAGCTGTATAGTGTGACCCGCGCATTTTTCGATCAATATACCGAAATATGTTTTGTCGAGACTTTACGTTTTTTGACACTCGTAGGGTTAATGCCATGTAACAAAATACTTAACTATTAAACAAGAATTTTTTGTATTCATGAAATTTCCATTGTATTTTTTTATACATCCTGTGTACGAGCTACTTGCTATGTTGTGCGGCCAAAACATAAATACCATTAAATACCATTTGGAAAAACCACTACGATTTGAGAGCGAAAAATGTTGGTATTTTTTGTGCGATAGTAGTAATTAATACTATATTCGACAAAACTACGTTTTTATAACATTATGTTAATGTAACAATTATATAATATGAAAATGTTACATATTTATATGTGTACAAACACACAGCACAAGAACTGTTTGCGAGAAAAAAGTATGCAAATATATCGTCGCCTTCTCAAGAATATACCGAAATATACCTTGTCATATTCATAATATACCGTAAATATACCGAAGAAAAAAAGTGCGTCCACTAAACCCGCGAAGAAATTACTGTTTGATAATTTAAAAATAATGGTGCGTATGTTGAGATCTAATAAGCTATGTTCTTTAATTTTCTTGTAAATACAATCGATTCTGGAAAGCGGCACCGAGTGAGAGCTAAAAGTGGAAAATGTGCAATAAGTATACAACATATCGAATTTCCCAATAGAAAATGACTATATGTGAAGTCAGCGACAAGCTCCAGCTGCAGTTGCCATCGGGCTGTGAGAGTGGACAGAATTGCCATGGATCAAAGCAATGACAATGTTGAAGCCGCATGTGGAGGGGCTTTGATTCTGCCGGAAGGGCATTCCTTCTTCCACGAGGGCATCAAAATGATATCGGAGTGTGGAGAGATCGATGAGGGCGATGCCGATTGGCAGCTGGATGCGGAGTTCCTATGTCGCACCATAAGGGAAGCCATGTCCGAGAAGGATCTGGTGTACAAGTTCTTGCTGCAGAACCTCCTGGCCACGGCCACCTTCTACAGGGGCTCCAAGATCGATTTCCCGCTGGACTTTGACCAATATCTGCGCTTTCGCATGCCATTTCGCGTGACACCCATCTTCAATATGACCCAGCCGGCGTACATCCACCTGCATGCCCTCAATGGCCATCCGATGGTGAGCAATGGATACGTAAATCCCGAGAGCGTTCAGCTGTTCCTCCGCGGCAATCTGCGCGACGCAATTACCCACATGGGCAGCGTCTCCTGCAACAGTGGAGTGCGGTACAAGCTCAGCTATCGGACACATGAGATTGGGGACCAGGGCTTCGTCCACGAGATCCTCGCCTGTGAGAGTCGCAACGAAGGCATGCCCAGCGTCATCTCGTTTGTGTTCCTGCCGGCCATGCAGTTCACCTTCGCGGAGCATCCGCTGCCCAGCTTCGTGCCCTCCGGCCCCGCCTGGCTGCACTGCAACGGCACCTTCCACTGGCTGGCCCTGCTCCAGGTCTATCCGCAGTACGATCGGCGCAGCTTCTGTCCGTACGTGCCGCGGATGCAGTACATCCGGGACGAGCGGATGCTCAAATATCGCACTGTGTTGCGCCTGCTGCTGCGCATCGGAACGGGCAATAATATCCCCGATCTTTGTGACATTTTTGTCCTCAAGGGTCTGCACTTTTATCGCCTGCGCTACAGCTCCAGCTGCGACTGCCATCTCTCCCTGGCCACGCTGTTCATCGAGGTGGGAGATGCTTTCTCTTGGGTGCTGTGCTCTATAGAATGAATAAAGGTTCTCTCTCTCTCTCTCCCTTTCCCTTTTTCTCCTTTGCAGATGCTTAACATTCACAGGGAGGTCGCATACAATGAGGCATGGCAAAAGTCCATTACCTTTGGGTTGCATCAGCAGCAGCACTGGATGCGCGATGCCCTCTCGCTGGACAGCATTGTGCGGAATCTCACCATGTTGTACCACATCAATTGCATTCATGTGGATCATCTGAAGCAGTTGTTTGGCATCATTTAGTGGGGGTGGAGTGGAGACACTGTCTCACATTACGTATACGAAAAGCAGCTGCACATCAAATGCGTTCGGTAGAACGGCTGTGGCCACACACATTTGTGTTTGTTACTCGGAATTTTATTCTAGTATGCAGGGGGACGGTGGCGGGGGCGGGAAGGGGTTATGCCACAATTGCAATTATTTACAGGCTTCACAACAGCACAAAACAGAGCTACAAATTCTAAGCAGTTAACAACCAGCGACGACGCCTATGACTAACACAATAAATACAATAAATAAATAATAATAAATTAATTAGTAAATGTTAATTACACACAAATGACTCTGAATGTTCACTCAATTGATGGACAATCCCTGCAATGGGATTGCCCGCTAAAAACTATCCCTAAACGAGGTCAACAATGGGTGGAGTGTGAACGGGAGGCGTGTCAGTGGGTGGCTCTACATATAGACATTATTTTTATTGGTGTCACGACTGGCTGGCAGCTGCAGCTGTATGGCCTGCTGTTCGTGATACTCTCCCATGGGTCGTGCGGTCGTCGTCCTTTTCGTCTTGCTTGGGCTCGAGGATGTGGCGGATGGCTTGGCGTATTTGTTGGCCAGCGCCTTGAAGATGCTCTTGGGGCAGGCCTTGAAGTAGGGGAAGCATTCGCCAGGTGCCTGCTTGCCCTCGCCCATCCGCTGGGCCTGCACGTAGTCGGGCACCAGATCGGCAAAAGGCGATTCCGTGACCCTAAAATGGGGATTCATTAGCAGTTCCAGCCAACGAAGCAATTATGCTACTCACGTTAAGAACAATTTGGTCATCTCCCCGAAGACTCCGAACTTCTCCAGGCTGCGGGAATGCATCTCGCAGATGGTGCGCAGCAGACACGCCTTTCCATCCATGCCAAAAGTGGAGAGGAAGTCCTCCACCACGCCGTAGAGCAGCACCCTCTCGCCGCCGTGGAAGATGTGCTGCATGCCGTTGGGCAGATCCGGGAACTTTGGCCCCTCGTCGTGCACCCTGAACGGTGAGTCCTCGCTCCTGCTGCGCTGCTCGCTGAGATCCCGCTTGCGGCGCTGCACGTGCAGATATCTGGCCACATATTCGCCCACCATGTGGCCCGCCTCGTGGCCAAAGGAGCGGGAAAACAGCGGCGGCAGATCACCCAAGGGATTCTGATTGTCCGTCAGTCCCAGCTTGTCAAAGTCAACTGCAGGGATGGAGAGGGTAGAGATAATCGAATAATCATTGGAGAGCGGACAGCGGCCAGCGGGGACTCACTGGTGACTGGGAAACTGATGGTCAGGTTGGAGAAGAAGCCCTCGGGCGGATGCCGCACCAGTGGCATGGCAATCGTCGGCGTGAATGTCAGTGAGGTGCCTGGGGGCAGTGCCAGCCGTCCGTCATCGGTAATCCAAATCAGACGCTTCTTGCGAATGTGCGGCGCATCTGGATCCGCGTCGTCCCAGCCGTCTGGCTGCGCCTCAGCCTCCACTTCCGCCAGCTGTGCGGCCGCCAAATCTTGTGCATCCGCCTGCTGTCGATGAGGCGGTGATGTTGATGTGTCTTGGCATAAGCAGAGGATTGGCAGCAGCAGCGGCAGCAGCATGAAAAGCAGTAGGCGGCTGACTGAAATGTTCCACAGCTTCATGCTGGGAGAAACGATTGGAGAAGTGATTAGAGATTACAGATTACAGATAACAAATGAAGAATCCTTGGATGATTACTCTCATTATGGAGAAACAAAAGACTTGGACAATGAACTCGATTAGCTGGCAAATGGCAAATGGGACTGCTATAGTAAAACATCGGCCTAATGGCCATCATTATTCAACAGTTGTATAACATCAATTGGCGACGACTCTTTCTGCGCACAACAACCCATTCTGCATTCTCATCTGCAGCTCTTAACCCATCCTGCACTCCACTTCACTCAGCTCTACTCTACTCTACTCCATTCGATGGAGCAGCAGCAGCAACTGGCAACTGGTTTCCCTGTCGAACGTGTCTCGTGATATTTTTTGGGAAAGCTTCAATCCACGAGCAGAGATCTGGCATTGTTCCAGCAACTGTTTGCAGGCCCCGTTAGCAGCCTGGCAGCTTGCATTCTGATTACGACTCTTGGAAAAAACCAAACTCAAACAGCTATAAAAATACCCCCCCCCATCAGGCAGAGCTCGGGATTAGGAATTGGCAATGGCAATGGCTCTCTGGTCTGCGATTTGTGGATCTTTCAGTGAAAGCATCCCAACAAATTGATTTATCATTCTAAACGAAACCTGTTGAAGATTTCACCCCGTAAGGAATCCCAAATCCCAAATGGAGAGCACTACAAATTGATATCTCGTTTCACGACGCACTTTTACTCGTACAGCAGCAGCAGCAACAGCAGCAGCAGTTGCATTCAGCAATGATGCAACACACTTTAGAGCTAGAGAACTCTAGCCGGGGAGCCAGCCAGGGAGCCGGTTCGGTGCACCACCATATAGAAGGAGGCCTGAAGTGTAGGCCATGATTAGAGCCAAGCCATATTCTGTGTTGCACTTTCTCAAGGCTACAATTTGACGGCCATTTGGGTGGCAGGTTTCCTAGCACCAGCAGCACGAGCAGCACCATCAGCAGCTTTCTAGACCAAACATTCTAGTCCGAATCACTCAAAGGTTGGCCACCAGAGTGAGTTTCTCCTTATTGGACACTTGGATGCACTGTACGCAAATTAGGCCTAAACAAACACGCTGACAATAGCAGACAGGCCAGGCCGTTGGGCGTGGCTGTACACATGTGAAAATGTACGTAAAATTCAGATGGGATTAATTGCACACTGCAAATGATGGACATGAAAATGAAAATGGGGTCGGTCACAAGCTACGCTGAAAGGAGGAGTGCGGATTGGATTGCCTGGCAGACAAGCACTGACTGGGCGAGTGAAGTGCGTTGCCATCGCCACGGGAGGAGGCAGAACTGGCTGGGACCAGTCGTCGCCAAATCTAAATTAATATCCAAATGCAGTTGACAGTGCACAGAGGTAGAGAGAGCGACGCCTTTTCGTTGACTCTCGCTTATGGCCAAGGATTCATTTTGATTTCTATAGGAAATCAGCAATAGAAAAGCAGCAAACAAAAAAGAACAGAGTCGAAGAGTTGTGTGCCTTACAGGCGGAAGCCAACAAACGATCTGTCTCTGTATCTGTTGCTCTGTATCTTTTCCTGTAGCTGTAACACTCTTCATGTGATAGTCTCGCTACCCTACCCTTTGGACAGTGGCAGTGGCAGACAACAAACACGCAACAAATGTCAGCTTGGAATGCCGGTCGAGAAGTGAGAAAAGTGAGAGAAGTGAGACTGAGACTGAGATTGAGATTGAGAGAAAAGCCTTTGCAACATATGGCGAATTAGTGCAGCTGAAGCTTTAATTGGAGTTGACTCCGCTAAGTATGGACGACCCGAGTGAGTGTCCATCCATGTCCGTGTGTCTGGCTGTGGGTCCGATTGTCCGCTGTCAGAATCCAAAGAGTGTTATTTTTTTTTACTTCAACAACAATCAGCGGGATACAACGATTGGCGCGTATGGCGCGACATAAAGAAATTTACTTAATTTTTGCAATGAAACCGAAAACTGGGTCAGCAGGTGAGTGGCGACACTTGTCGAACAAAATTCGAATAATAATTTTGATTATTTCATTCCCAATCAAAGCAACCAAAACAAAACTAAAACAACAAGCAAGCAAAGCAATCGGACTGGACTGGACAGGGCACACGAGTTCGATGCTCAAGTCTTTTGTTTTTTTTGTTTTTTGTGGGCAGGCACGTTGCACCCGCACCGCACTGGACAGGGACAGGGACTGGCACTGAATAATTAATTAGAAATTCAGCAAATGATTGCGACAAAGGAAAGTGCAAGTGGTGTCGTACTGCTGATCTGTGCGTGCTCGGCATGTACGAGGAAATCAATCAAACAGTCAAACATCAGCAACGGACACCACACACAAAAATCACTCGCACTCAGCTATCAGAGCTATAGAAAGTTCGAATCAAGCTAACGCTGAATGCATGACAATTACCCAATGAAATGTAATTGTTTTTTTCGGGGGTTTTTTTTTTTGCTTTTGGGGCAAATTCTTTAAGAGGTGGAGAGCTTACATAAGACTCTGCTCAATCGGCTGGGAAAGATCTTTGGAGTTGAACTTGTCCTATTTCCCGCTTCCTTTTCAAAAATTTTCTTTGGTCTGGCTGGCCAGAGTTCAGCACAAGATCAAGCTTCACTTTTCTAATGCTTGAGTCATGCAGAGGTCTCGACACGTTTTTCACTTTTTATAATTCGCGCGTTGTGCTGTGCTGTTGCTGGTCCTTTGCTAGAAGGAGAAGCTTCCATGGATTTCGGTTTATTTTGCTTTTGCTTTTTATTCGGTGTGGGGGAACCGTTCCAACAGCCAACGACCGCGCGCGCAAACGTTTGAAATTCAACTAAAGCGGCTAGCGGCCGAGGCGAACGATAAAAGGCAACGACGAAAACCACAATGAGCCAAAGAAGAGGAAGCCAAGCCGACAGCAGAGCAGAAGGCAGGAGGCATGGCATGGAGTCCGAGTCAGAAGCAGAAGCAGAAGCTACCCGCCAGCCGAAACGGCAAACCAGTATGAGAGAGACTGAAATATCTGATCTCCTGTGTGGGGTTTGCTGTGTGAAGTTGCCAATTTGGTGTTTGATTTTCTTTCAGCGTGTAATGGGGGGAGGAACAAGCCAGGGAGTGGGTGAACTGAACTGCGTTCTGCGTCCAACTGTGAGGAGAGTCTGTGAGAGGAGCACTTCCTGGGCATTCCAGTGAGTCATCGTGAGGGTTTTCCCTGAGCGCAACTGGGTCGCAATTAGTTTCACTCTTTGGCTGGACATCGTTCATCATAATCGTGGATCGTGCACAGACACAGACACAGACAAGTTCTCAGGCCTAGACTTTGCTTGCAGCAATTAAACTTTCCATGCGAAAATGGATGCGATGCGACCAGTGCGTACACAGACGCCGAATCTGGGATGCGGTTTCCAAGTCGCTTGGCAATCGAAGCAGTTGGTCAGCAGCAGCAGATACTTTGCATACACAGCTATAGCTACAGCTAAAGATACAGATGAAGATACAGATGTGCATAGAACATGTTTTGAGTTTTGTGGCGTGAGTGGGGAGCTTCCGCTGCGGTTTGAAAGTGAGTCTAGAAGTAGAAGTAGAAGCATTGGATGTGGGTCAAGGTCTCTATTTGGATGGAAAGTCAATAAAAATTGCATCGGGGAAAACTTGACGAATATTTCACAATTCCCATAAATATTTATCACTCAATAAAGCAAATTTTGTAGCGTTAAATGGCTCTATCATTAGGGTACGTGGTGAAAATTTATTGGTTTAGAGACCAGACCAGACCCAAAAACGTTATCAGAAAGCCTGACCTATGTACGTGATGGTAGCTTCAATTGAATGAATGATGTACATCAATTCACACGCACAAGTGCTTTCCATTTACTATTGCTAATGCCTCATTTAAATAAATAGCCGACATTTATGGCTTTCTTGCGTAATGATAAGATCTTCCCAATAGATTTCCAATTGGCAAAGTGCCACAAGGCATTGCAGGAGTGGAAAGCAAATATTGTCAATTCAATATTTTAATGTTCCATTTATTTAAAATAATAATAAATACTTAATTCAAAACTCAACGGTCCGATATGCACACTTATCGTTCCTCTTATCGATGTAAACCATAAAAACTATGCTGATTGCATCTCTGTCCTGCCAACAATAAAAAAAAAGCTGAAAACGCCAAACGCATTTCCAAAAAAAATTCAGAATTCCCGCTTACTGCAGCTGGTCTTAAGAAACAGCTAGATTTGCCGGAAAAAAGCGCATTTGGCAGCACTGGTGGAAACAGCTATCGCTGCCGAACAGCTGCGTGCCTATCATCACAAACAAGTGCATTTATTCAATCTTTGTTTTCCTTTTTCATTGAAGAAAAAAACTCCCCACAACACACGACATCGGCATATAATGACGGCCCGAAACCCACAGACTTTAATGGCACTGCCCAACGAGGAGAACTTTGACTTCCTGTTCAAAATAGTCCTGATCGGAGATTGTGGGACTGGAAAAACATGCATAGTGGACAGATTTAAGACTGGGAACTATATAGAGCGACATGGCAATACTATTGGAGTGGACTTTTCCATGAAAACCATAGCCGTGGAAGCAAAACAAATTAAGGTATGTACAAAGGTGGGGGTGATCGTTGGAGTTATTATTTGGATGCTATTGATGAATGATATTCCTGCAGCTGCAAATCTGGGACACGGCTGGCCAGGAGAGGTTTCGCACTATTACGCAGAGCTATTATCGCTCGGCCAACGGTGTCTTAATTGGTGAGTCGTCGGTATCTCCCGGATACGCCCATTCATTTGTCATGCCGCCGCCCGACACTATCAGTAGGGTAGTGGAGAGCTCCTGTCGAGGAACGGTGTGATTCGCTGATAACGAGTGCCGCGCCGCTCCACGCTTTAATGTTACTGCGAGGCATTGATTTTAATAGTGTTTGCTCTGCTTGTGGCCTCGTTATCTTCTCCCCAAGCGTCGTACACGTAGAGACCCGAATGTTGTTGGTATATTAATATGTTTATTAATTGGTTTTCGCTACAGTTTATGACATCACAAAGAGGTCTTCCTTCTCCAATCTGCAAAAATGGATCGAGGAGGTGCGCAGATACACGGCATCGAATGTGCTGATCATATTGATTGGCAACAAGTGCGACCTGGAGACGGAGCGCGAGGTGGACTTTGAAGAGGCTCGCCAAATGTGTCAATATATACCTGAGATCCTTTTTGTGATGGAAACGTCCGCCAAGGAGAACATGAATGTTGAGGATGCCTTCCGCTGCCTTGCCACTGAACTAAAGGTTAACTCTGGGTTCCCTTTTTCAAGATCAAAGCTAATGCTTGTGTGTTTCCATTGCAGCGCCAACACGATGCCAACAATGTGGAGGCTGTGGACGAGAACACCATTACCCTGGGGCAGGGGAAGCCCCTTAAGAGTTGCAGCAGCTCCTGTAATCTCACTTAGACATCACCGTTTTGATATTGTTTTATTTTGCTTTTACGTTTTGTGATCAAACTGTTCGTGTGGCTATATATTTAGTTTGCTAATATTTAATCCTAATCCTAAAACTGTTTTTACGCGTTACTTACTGGCGGCTGCGAGTAAGCCCTTTAATTTATGTACTAACTTTTACACAACCATGTATTTATTTTAGACGATAGAGTACAAATTAATCTCAAACATCAACAAACAAGCGAGCGAATCGCGCTAACAGTGTCAATTATAAGGCAATGTTCGAAGAGAAGACAGGAGTGGAAAGATACGTCCAATTCTGTATTCAATTTAATACGAAACAGTTTCGAAATAAACTCTTTTATTTTGTAATTTTATTGGAAGTAGTTAATTGGCTTAGATCTTAGACTTTATCATTATCATAACTCGTACCACTCGTAAATTTTTATCATTGAGGGGGGGAGAGGGATCGTTATATTATACACTTAATAAAATTGGCTTGGCAACAACTTTTCAAACAATCGGCGAAACGCTTAAAATCTGTTACATCGTTTTATCAGTATTATGTGTGCCTTTACATTTACATAAAAATTGATTTACTTTTCTACAATTATTAACTATGGTCGTACGCTACTAGAGTGGCCTGTCATTTGTTTTTGATGCGCTGAACGATCCACTCCAGGCCCTGATACAAGCCCTCGCCGGTGAGCGCACAACACGCCTGGATGTGCCACTGGTGCTTTTTGATGGAGGTCAGGTCCAGTTGCCGTGAGATTTCGGCCGCCGACATCGATCCCTTCAGATCTTGCTTGTTCGCATATACCAGCAGGCTGGCCTTGCTCAGGTCCTCATGCTGCAGCATGCGATACAGCTCCTCGCGCGTCACCGCCAGCCGTTCCCGGTCCGTTGAGTCTATGACCATGATCACCAGCTCTGTGTTTGTGTAGTATGTGCTCCAGGCGGCCCTTAAACTCTGCTGGCCGCCGAGGTCCCACACCAGAAAGTGTATGTTTCGCCACACAACCTCCTCCACGTTGGATCCGATGGTGGGACTCGTGTGGACCACCTCGTTCATCAGGAACTGGTACAGGATGGTCGTCTTTCCCGCATTGTCCAGGCCCACCATCACCAGCTTGTGCTCCTCGTTCCCAAACATTCGCCATAAGCGGGAGAGTAAAAGACCCATATTTCAATGGCGATCCGTTCCGTCTGTGCAGTGCGTTTTCTTGTTGATTAAATTCAAAAGCTAGACTGGGCTGGGGGACAAAACGGAGGCGATGACGGTGATTGCCTCACACCAGGTTATCTCTCTTTCACTCTGTGTGACTGTGCGTGCGTCTGTGTGTGAGTGTGAGAGCTAGTGAGTGGTCGTCGCTGCTGCTGTGTTGTTGTGGTTGGAAAGTGGAAGGCCAAGCTGTAAATTATATATGCGCTCGCTCCGATACTCTCCTCGAATGAATTTACATATGCATTGCAACAAACACTTGTAATTTGTGATTGCCAAAGATGCAGAGCGAAAGGCCTTGCTTCAGTTCACTTCACAGAGATTTCTTCGAGTGCTGGAACGGATGGAACGGTGCGAAGCGATGGCGACGATTCAGCTACTCGGAGATTTTAAGTTTGATTTCGCGTCGTAGTTGGTTCTTGCTGCACTAATTGTTAATTTAATTAACGCAGTTTATATTAAAAAAGTAAACAGTAAAAGTGATTAATTAACGCATATGCGCTGGTCAGTGTTGTATTTGTCTTAATGTATCGATACTAGGCCTGGGGAAACATCGATGCGCTCATCGAAGTTTTTCAGTGCGGCCGTACTTTTTGCTTAAAATTATCCGTTGGAATTTAAACTATTTCAATGAAATTTATGATTCGTTAACGATTTATCAACGCTATAAATTTAGCAATTATATAAAAAATGTATTTAACAATCAAAACTGACACAGATACCTAAAACCCGTTGGTCAGAGCTCGGTGTTAACATTCTGTAGTGTGGCCGGAGTTTCCGCATATTCCCAATCATATGGTGCTCTTTACATTTATTAAATTAGCCAGCACACCGGCTGCATTCTTCCAACAATGAGTTTATTTTTAAAACTGGTGCTACTGGTCCTCGCTGTCCGGTTCACAGAGGCCCAAACGACGAGGCGCGAGCAGGCGCCCATTGCCGAGTGTCCTGGCCACAGTGTCCCACACGTCAGAGCCGAGGCATCTGATTTCGAGATTGCCATGATTTTGCACTACGTGTCCTGGTCGAGCGAAGCTCGAAGAGCGAAGACGCTCTACAACGGACTGGCATACTATTACCACGAGTACGCGTTCTTCGGGGCCGTCGACTGCTGGCATTTTCAGTGCAACTGCAGTAGCACTCACGTTCCAACGCCTGGCGCTGGAGGCTATCCGGACAAGTGGCCCACGTTGATAGTGCGCTACAACCAGCGCCACATTCTGCAATACTCCGGAGACTGGAACTTTGAGGATCTCGTGCGTTTCATGAACTATCTGATCGAGCCCATCGATCGGGTGCACACCAGCCTCGAGCTGGCAGGACTAAGGAAGCACTCGGATGCTGTCGTTCTGGCACTTCTGGACTCCGCTGACAGTCTGGCATACAAACGCTATATGGCGGCCGCTGTTTGTTGGCTGGAGTTCGATCCGGAGAGGAATATACGGTTCGCCCTTAACTTTGGGAAGAGTGCAAAGAGCATGCTGAGAGGGGAGGACGTCACACTGCCGCAGCTGGTGGTCATTGACAGCCGGAATGGTGTGCATACGTTCAACACATCGTCGAGCGATTGGCGTGCTTTGGACATCGTCCGATGGGTGCGTCACACCCTCAAGAGTCTGGCGTTCTTCTCGAATGGATATGGAACCCCCACGACAATAGCCTTGAAGGCGCGCTACACGCCCGTGCTGGCCATGGGCGTAAAGATGCCTCAGAGCCATCACACTGCGAGTGCCATGCCCTTGGTAATGGTCAAGGAAATGGCTTCCGCCCTAAAAAGGCAGACAGACAGCTGTGACGCGTACTGGACGAATGATGAGAGCCATGCGAAGGTGGAGTCATATTCCTTGCTGCAAATGCCCGCGGAACTATATGCAGAAACCTCTCAGAATGCAGAGCAACGTGGCAAGCACTGCTATAGAGCCTCGCAGCTGAATGCAGCGACTCTGGCCAACTACTACAGGATCAACAAGTACCTCAATCATCTCTGGCTAACTTATACGCACCAGAACCACATGGAGCGGTCGGCAGGCAGGGGCACGGAGTCGCGCCAGCTTCTGACTCTGCACCGGCGCAATCTGTGCCTCGCCCATTCCAACCATGGCACGCCGGCCATGAAGATTGGCATCGCCAACATGGTGACCAAGTACAGTCAACTTATCTGGCAACATTCCGGAGAGGATTTCCCCAAGAATCGATCTCTGGGCGTCGTGATCTTCGACTCCATTAAATACGGTGACTATCTGCAGCAGTTGGGCATACAGCAGCATCAGCACCACCATCCCCACGAGCGAGACGCCTCAGCGGTGCAGGTCTTCATATTGGACATGGCCGAGGAGGCGCTGCATGTGATGCCGCAGGACCATCCGTTCTCGTATGTGGCTCTCAAGGACTTCATTCGGCAGTTCTATGCCAAAACACTGCCCAAGGTTTACAAGAACGCGCTGCCACCGCCGGACACGGCTTTCCATCGCTACTTCAACCGCCAAATGCTTCTGCAGGCTCTCCAGCGGCCAAACGGCACGAATGTGGTATTCATGTATCGTCCAGACTGCGCCTTATCCGCCGTACTATCTCAAGCATTCCTCCAGGTGTCGGCGCTGCTCACCAGTCCAAGCGTTAACTTCATACGCTTCGACAGCCAGGCCAACGATCTTCCATGGGAGCTATCCATGCCGCTCTGCCCCACGCTGATTGTCTTTCCGCAGGCGCGTCCCACCGAATCCGTCGTGTTTCCGAACAATGTCCGGATTGATGTAAAGACTGTGTTTGCCTTTGTCATCGCCCAACTGGAGCCGGAGCAGCAGCTGCGATCGGTGCTGGCCAGCTGCCGGCGACGGATGAAGCATGTCCGAAGCTGCCTGGACTTTGCCCGCAGTTTGGTGCTAAAGCATGTGGGCCAGTATCTGAAATACTGGGAGATCTACGAGCACGAGCGCGACCAGATACTCGAGCATCTCAAGCAGTTCAACGAGATGCACATAGCCATAGATCGTAGCATAAGGTTATAGCACAGCCCTTCCTTGTAAACTCTGTAGGCCATTTGTTACTTAAAATAAGTAAAACCAGACTGTAGTTTGTATGTAAACTGTAAAGCCAAACCATGTTTGTAATTAAGTAGTAAACACTCATAGCTATAAGAAGATAATGCAATAATACATACATATATACCATATAACAAAATAATTCGATTTCTCGATTTGAATTTTTTGCTTTGGGTCGCTCGACTTGTGATTTTTCTGCGTTAGACAACACTAGAGAAAAACAATTGGAATCTGTAAAAATGTTGCGCCGCTCGGACAAATTAAGTATTATAGACCACACGACGTTCCAAAATATCCAAAACGATGGGGCACAAACAGCCCCAAGAATGCTGGCCCAAAGCTCCAAGTACAAAAATAAGCACAAGAAGGACGAGCTGCAAGGCACGCTCTTCGATTTTTTGGTCAAGTCGCGAAAGACGCAAAAGCAAAACAAGGCCAGAAAGCTAAAGCGTCCACGTCTGACCATTACAAAACCCTTATATTGGCCAAGGCGCAAAGGAAAAACCCGCATTAATCCCAGGAAGAAGGTGACTAGATTGAAAAAGCTGATATGCAGCTATCGCAGGCTGAAGAAGCAAAAGATGTCCACTGTTGAGATCCCCGACTACGAGGAGGAGCTGAGAGAGAAGCTGGAGTGCCTGTTGCTGGACACAGAAGACCCGTCTACACAAGAGGAGCAGAAACTGCCTACCAAAGAGGAGCATCTAGCAGATCAAGTCCATCCCATACATTCCCGGCGTTTCAGAAGGTTTTCTCTAAAGAACTTATTGTATTTTTGTTTTTAATTTAAAGTATGATTTCCCTCAGCTATTGCGACAACTGCACCAGACCACAGCTCAAGCAGTTGACCACTCAGTTGTTGAAGGATGTGAACCGTTTCCAGAAACGCGCCTATGTCAAAAACGAGATCAAGGCACGGGCACATCCTCGCTTCGTTTTGGGCATCCGTGAGGCTTTAGCCCGGCTGCGCATAAAAAAAGTAAAATTGCTAATACTCGCCACCGATTGCGAGATTTGCCCCGGAGAACGTAAGAGCGCATGCGATATTAAAGCACCAGCAAGTCATCATAACATATATTTCTCTAGATGGCCTGGACGAAACGATTGATGGCTTGAAGGAGTTGTGCCAGCAACAAACTGTGCCCTACTGCTTCTCTCTCGTGCGACGCGAGCTGTCCTATGCCCTTCAGAAGCGTGCACAGATCTCTTGTGTGGCCATTTTGGATTACGATGGGGCCAATGCCACATTCAATGATCTCCTCAGGGAGCTGGAAGACGCCAAAGAGGAGTATAAACGCCTGACTGCAGTGTGATGGTTTATTAAGTGCTGAAAGCGGACATAAGTGCAGGAAGGAGGTGCAAAAAAGACCAAAATATACTTCAGCTTCAGCTTCCTCGGCTTCTTCAACCCGTTGGCGTTAGCATGGTGGTGGTCACCAGATCGTACAAAGTGGAGCTACCATTGTCCATTTCGGTGGCAGCGCCAACCAAGCTGGCGGTATCATTCAGCGAATTGAATGTCTGAATGGCCTCCTTGGCCTGCTGAGCAGCCAAATTGAACTGAATCAATATAATGAGGTAGCTGGTGATACCACCACTGACGCCATACAACGTTTCCATGTCCAATGTGAAGAATCCGCAGGCGGAGAAGTCCACCGAGTGATTGAGCAGCTTCAACGACAAATGATTGACAATCTCGAAAAGCAAGTTATCATCCGCAACCACGCCGCACTTGTGCAGGCTGATGCCAGTGCGCTTCGAGGCCAGAGAAGTTTTCCAACTCAGGTAGATGAGATACACACACTTGCCGGACGTATAACTCAACGCAATGACCGTGATGAAGGGATTCTTGGCCGAGCGGAATAGCGACGGTATCGACTGGAACTGTGTCGCGCAGTAGAGGAAATACAGCTGAGCCGTGAATATGAGGAAGCCATACGCCATCAGAGAGAGAATCGGATAGCTCCACAGCTCGTTCATGGCCTTGCCAATCTCACAGATCTCGTCGTGCACCTGACAAAGATTGTTCAGCTTCTCCTCCACCTTGGCGGCGTTGCTCAGCTCGCTCTCGTGCGCCATATTCACGGATATCGGATGATGAGTGGCCTTGTCGGCGGCCTCAATGGTTTCCCCAAAAGAGTTCATCGAGTGGGTAACTGAAATCAGACATGCCCAATGGACTGCGAATCAAACATATTCAAAATGTACACCCACCAGGCGCCACCTTGTTCTTGCCAGATCCCTTGAGCGAGCTCATATCCAAGCCGCCCAGCTCCTTGTAGAGGTACTCCAAATTGCTGTCGTACTCCGGTGGCTGAGAGCTGTCCAACGCTGAACTGCTAGTCTCCTGATCGCCCCGCAGCCACAGCTTGAACTTCTCGTGGGTGGCTACCAGCTCCTCCAGCGTCATGTTGATGGCCTCGAAGCGTTCCTTCAGCGCATACAACGAGACGGCAAACCAGATCTTGTCCAGCGTATTGATGAAAGTGGGAATGGCCGAGACAATCCACAGAACGGACATCCATTGGGTGTAATCCACTAGCTTGATGTACGTGGCCAACAGGATGGAGAGCTCAAAGAGGAACGTCATGATTAGCATAAACCTAATGCGTCCCCCAATGTGGCTGTTGTCCACCACACACTTCTCCCTGTACAAACGTTCGTCCACGTGGCGAATGCGCTCGTAGAGCTCTCCAATCCGGCCCTGATTACGCAAGGCGGTTAACTGGTCCGTGCCCATCATAATGAGGCCAATGTAGGTGAGAAACAGGCCAATCACAAAGGTCAAGGTGCCTGGGGGGGATGGAAGGAAGCAAAGGTTGAATACTGCCCACCACTCGTCATGCTCTACTGACTCTGCGAGGCCTTGAGGGTGCGATCCTCCTCTCCAAAGGAGTAAATCAGGATGTTGTACAGCAGCACATACACAATCAGCATGGCCAGCATGTAGATCATGCCATTGCGCGACTTCTCCAGCACATTCTTGGTGCGAAACTTCTCCAGATTCTGCGGCAGTATCCCAGCAATCTTGGATATGTAGAAAAGTAGCTGGAATTGCTCCAGCAATGGCTGGACCATTGGCTGCGCATTCTCCGACTGCACCTGCGGCATGTTGACTGTCGACTGACCAACGTCTCTGGACCCTCTAGACATTATCGATGGCCCTGCAGACCATGCACTTAGCCTAATTAAATTTCTGCCGCACATTACAAGGGCAGCCCCACTCCACTCCCATCGATATTATCATTATAAGTAATCCACTATTGGGGGTGGGTGTTTACGTAACTCCATTTATGGTACAATACATTGATGAGTTTTGTCTTTAACTTGCTGGTTTATTTAAATAGAGAATTTTTTTGCCAGGGCTTTTTCACAATGAACGTTCGAATGTTATGTAATTTAAAAGCCGAAATATGCACGGCCGTAAGTTCTTTGAAAAAATGGGAGATTTTCTAACATAATCAGTTTTATAGTGTATATACGTAGATGTAGATGTATCTATTGTTTGTTTATTTGTTTTGTATTTGCTGCTACCGCCGGACCTTAGTTCCTTTTGCGGCGCTCGTTTTGCTTTCGCTCCTCCTGAAAGTAATTAAATGAATTAGTAAGTTGATTCTCGCAGATAATTAGATAGACCAAAGCGCATAAGAATAATTTCACAAACAGCCAGCCAGAAAACTTTGCAAATGTTTTGTCAAGCTCATTGGAAATAAATATACTCCCCGCAAAATGGAGGAAATCTTTGGATCTCAGCTGGAAATTGTGAAAGTATAATTATTGCCTTGGCTTGGCGGAAAGATTCGGTAAATACCGTTTGACTTTTGTTAATCTTAAGAGATTTTTTTTGACTTGTGGAAAACTATTGCAAAGTGTTCGGCGACCATTTGATTGGATCTGCTTGGGACTAAACCATAAAGGTCTTGAGCTGTGGGACGGTGTGGCTTACAGGCTGTAGCAACTTAAATGTAAACCCTAACGAATCGAGCATACCTTCTGGGTCAGGATTACGAGCAAACGGCGGAACATGCTCAATACGTCAAAGAAGAGATCCAGGGCATGCTGTACGACATCGCGGTTACCATTGCGGCACTTCTGTACAATGTTTTGTGTGTCGTAGACTATAAAAGCTGCCATTACGAATACACCCACATAGAGTTGAGTCTGTTTGATGGTGAGATAATATTTGCGATTAAGATGGCATTCACAGATGAGATTCACTTGTTTACTTACCACTTGCACCACGTACGACTTGAATATCATGTTGAAGAGGCTCAAAATGGCCATGGTGTTGACAACGCTGACTAACATTCCGCCCAGATACAAATACTTGCCCTGCTCGGCCAGTAGAGCGGCCAGCGAGAGGGATAGAAACGTGACAAAGGTGCCAGTGAGGGCTGTGACAATAATGGCCGGATTGATGTGGCTGACGTAGCCCAGCAGCGGTCCCAATGTCTGGCCAGAGCAAAATCCAAAGGCATAGAGCATAGTCAAACGTGTGCGATAGTTCTTGCCATCATCCTTGTAGAAATGCAGCCCCAATACCAGCACCAGCGTGGCCAAGGCAGCCAGCACGCCGAGATCTAGAACGTCGCGCATCTGGCAGAGGGCTCCAACAGTTGTCGCGGCTGCAGTGCTTCCCAAGACCATGTACACTTTGGCCAGGTGTTGGCGCACATGCGGCTCACTGGAAAGGTAGGAGGAAGACAAAGACACGGTAAGTTAGTTTCAAGGACAATCGATTCGAAGGCGACCAACTGTTGATGAGGTTCAATACCAAAACAACACGTCAGCCCCAGTCCCATCCATCCCTTATGACGCGGGTCCAATTCTGGACCCGAGCCTCTGGGGCCAAGTGCAAATGCACCCACCTCCGCTTGCCCTTGTCCGTAAGGTAAATACAGATAACTTACTAGCGATCGTTGAGTCCATTCACAAACGTCTGAAAACGTTCGTTAATTTTCTGTGCTGTCGCTGCTGCCATTTCTGCAAATTTTTTTCACTTGCTGAATAGTTTTCTGATCTTGTTAATTTTACAAACGGAGGAGTTATGTTCCCAAGAAAACAGTTTTGTGACTAGTCAGAAAACTTGTCGGGTCGGTTGTAGGCGCCTACTTGTTTTTCTTTTCTGTATTTCACAAAATGTTCCTTGTTTTCAGTGATTTCTAGAGACAGTGTTGGCTAACGTTGCGATTGAAATCGAACCTTCCAGTTGGAAGAGCAAGCTCGTGCGCAATCGCGTGCGTCACGATATTAATTTTTTGTTCATTTCGCGGCAAATTCAAAAAAGTCAATGGTATATCATTTTGTAAAACAAAAAACACCACGGTATATTTGTAAGTTTTAAAATATTGCTGGGCATCGGTTTGTCTTAAAAACATAGATGCGAAATAGTAGACTTGGCCATGGGGACGTTGAGCAAGATTACAAACTATATAATAAAAACTGATATATGTATATATATCTACACAATAGCATAGTGTAGAAGTAGGAGTTGAACATTACCTGGTTTAAACATGACTTAATAGAGTGAGTGCTCGTTTTTTTTGTATAAATTTCCATAGATTTCATTCAAGATCACTATCACAGTTTAAAAATTGTACAAGACATCGTTTTTCTGCAGTTAAGCTCGTAATATTTGAACCCTAAAACCTAGGCCTCTCCCTGGGAGAGTTACAGGTGCATCAAACTGGTAAACGTAACTTTCTGGTTAACAGAGGTGGTAATTCTTTGGTTTGTAACTAGGGGTTAGTGCGGCATGATCTTAGTTGAATATCGTTTACAAAATGTATGTCAAATAAAATAAAAAGTAAAGCTAATATCAAAAACTAAAACGTAGATGATACAATACGAATGCAATGCTAGATTACGTTTATCTGCAAACTTTTTTAACACAGATCTGTTGTTAGGAACTACATAAAAGTTCGATTCGATTCGAGCGTTAGGTTAGTAGAGTATTGCTACGCTAAATGCGGTCAGGACTTTTGTTTATAGAGTAATTTAGTCTTATACTTTGGCCGGAATACACACTCATCCAACTTATTCTTATATAAACATGATTTAGGTTTCCTATCAGATCGGCTCATGAGATTAGTCACGATTTAAAAGCTACGACTCCATTCACACACTTTCGGAGACAGGCACACGGCATTGATAGACTTAAATATATAATTTGGTATGATATGTATGATAAATAAAAACAATTTAAAAACAAATGCATGATGAACGTTTACAACAAAAGAATCATTGAAAGTCTTTGAGAATACATTTAAGTTAACGATTTTTGGCCTCAGTCGGCCTCAGAAATGATTTTGTTAATATAACAATTTAAGTAAAAAATTGCACACAGCAGTGCAATCATAAATTTTGGCATATTTTACATACAATTTTGTTGTACAATTATAAATTCATTAACTAATAAGGGTATTGGTTGGTTTTTTGTTTTGTTTAAATATATAATATATAAAATACAAGAAGACACACAATGCAAGACAGTTTTGGTAAGGTTTCGTCGAACAATTTTTTTTTTTTTCATAAGTATATGTTTTATTAAATAAACCGAAATATTAGAGTACAATAATATTGAAATTCTGCTGCGAAGAGGGCGGTGAAGGATTAGTTGTGTGATGATCATCCATCCCATTGCCCATCTGTGTCGAAAATGTCCCACGATGACTGCCAATCGCATCCTCCATTCCTACACTAGTGCTGCTTCTGCTGTTGCTGTTTTTGCTGCTCCTCCTGACGCTGCAAGAAAGTGTCGAGGAAGAGGGAGGGTCCAGAGACAGTCCATGCGTCGTTGGTGGTATTGGAGAGGCTTGTCAGCAAATCGGCTTATTGTTTAGTATGTCTAGGAGAAACTATGTTATATGCCATATTCATATCCTACGTATTGGTAATGTTAGATACAAATTGAAAATCTGTTAATTTGTATAGCTTTTATAGCCGGCCGGCCACTGGCTACTGACCACCCACAAAGCTTGCGGCATTATTTGTTTGTTAATAAGAGTGCTGTGTGTGTGTTACTTTTTATAATTCCTTCTCCTCTTTACTTTCGCTTGCGTGGCTGCTCCTCCTCCAGCAGTCAATGCCTGGACCGATGCTCCTCACGCCTGTCGCGATCACGCTCCCTCTCACGGTCACGGTCCCGATCGCGGTCACGACGCTCCCGATCCGATGACCGATACCGTTCCCGATCCTCATAGTAGCGTTTTGATGACGGCGCCTCAGCTGCTTCCGCCACAACGGGCTCTGGCGACTTCCTTGGACGAGCCGAGCGACTGCTGCTGCAAGCAAGGATTTTGGTGCCATTAAAGCATGATGCGTGTGAAGCGCCTACAACATTCAGTTTTGCATTACCTTTCATCCCTGTAGTGATCTTGAGCCTGACGTTCTCGTTCTCTGCTGCGCGACCGTTCGCGATAGCTGCTGGATAAAAGAATATTTCATTAGTTTGTGGATTGCAAAAGATTGCTTTCCCCATTTCGTTCTCACCCGCCATCCCTTTCACGCTCGCGATCACGATCACGCTCCCTTTCACGAGACCTTTCGCGATACCGTGACGATGAGCGCTCACGCCTCTGCCTGCTGCGGTGGGATCGTTCCCTCGAGCGCGACCGTTCGCGCCGGTTATAGCTCTTCGCCTCGATGCCGTGCAGTGTGTCCTGCAGTGAGCTGATCAGAATCTTGCAACGCTCATCGTGAGCCACTTTTGATTGTTTTATCAGCGAAATTGCGGTGACCAGTGTCTCAATGGCGCTGGAGTATTCGCCGGCTGCGGCATCAGACACAGCCCTAAAATAATACAGAATTTATTGGCCATTCGAATAAACAATTGAATGAGACGGAATTAGGAGATGAAAGCTCACCTGGCTATTGCTGAACTGCTGACCGTGCGGTTTCTGCTCATCACCTCTTCGAACTCAGCCTCCGTTAGCTGTGGCCCCATTTGTGGGTCGGGGAACGGTCCTGGCGGCTTGCCCTGCGGTGGTGGCCATGGGCCGCGTGGTCCATGCTGTGCAAACTGCGGCGGTGGCCCGTGCTGCGGAGGCATATTCATGCCTTGTTGCGGTGGCATATTCATGCCTGGCTGTGGACCGCCTGGACCGCCGTGCGGTGGTCCGCCCATGCCTGGATGTTGATTTGGACCGCCGGGCTGGTTGAAGAAAGCTGGATTCACATGTGGTGCAGGTGCGCCGTGCGGTCCGCCTGGGCCTGGCGCTTGGGGAAGACCACGCGGCGGACCTTGAGGTGGAAAGCCGCCGTGCATGGGTGGGCGGCGCCAGTCGGGACCTGGAGGTCCCCTCACAGGCATCCCCATGGGTCCCTGGAACTGCAACGCAAAGCGAACGAATTAATAACGACGGCCGGAACAAAGGCAAAAGGCTGAGGAATGGCTGAATGAGAGTATTTCGTGGACTATGGGTGCAGCATGGAATTATTTCTGAATGTTCTGAATACATCTCTTATGCGGCGCATACATACAATGCCGTGCTCTTAAGTTAGCTTAAATAATTGTTAGTTCTGATTTCATTTCTGTTTCTTCTGTTTCGTTAGGTTAAGGATTTTGACAGCAAGTGGCATAGTATTTGACATATGAATTAATGGATTTTTGTTCTCATTTTCATTTTCGGTTAGGGATTGCTTTACCATTGGTCGTTGCGGTGGTCCGTTTGGTGGACCTGGTCGCGGCCCGCCAGGCCTCTGACCTGGCCATTGTCCCTGTGCTGATGGATATCTGGGTGGCGGCTGTTGGTTGCCCATGAGACCGCCTTGCGGATGCATTGGCGGCTATATTAATACGTAAATAACGTTTAATTTTTTTTTTGGTTGTTGTTGTTGTGGAGTGGGAGTGTGCGTAAGCGTTGTCATAGACATGGAATAGAATATAAATATAAAGCGTAATACATAAACATTAAATTATGGAATCACTTAATACAGGATTGCAATTACAAGAGATGGAAACACAGAGGACAAAGTTCAGTTTGCCTTCTCCATTCGAGTCACAATTTCGAATTGGGATCTAAGCTAATAATCATACAACTAGAAGGAGTATTATTAGGAGCATACAAAACAATAGAAAATGTTACAAAAATTGCTCTGAAATTACTTGTAATTAAACCGAAAAGATTACTATAAAGGTTAAGTTACTTAAAATCATAATCAACAACAATATTATGCAATTCGTTTGCATGGATTTATTCTACTTCGAAGTGCAAAGATCCGCGAGAGGATATTTCGTATAAGCTAAATATATCAATTGTAAATGTATTTTATTGTAAAGTTTTACAGAATCAACAAAATTTTGCATTCAGAACAATTTTAATGAGAATCTGGCGGGAGGGATCAATAATAAAATGTGTATGGCGGCGTGGTTAATACCGAGAACTTTCGAGGAATCAGAGGGTAAAACTATTAATGAAACTTATAAGAGAAGGGGAGAGAGCATGCGGAGGAAGTGAGTATCAAAGAAAAGTGGAAACAAACCTGCATTCGTGGCGGTCCGGAATTGGGTCCCACCTGAGGGACTTGCGACATATGCTGCGGTCGGTACTGGCCGGGCGCCATGATGGGATTCATGCCGCGAGGCGGATGACCGGGCGGTCCGCCTTGTGGACCACCTGGATGTGGCGGCATGGGACCACCACCCATATTGGGTGGCGCAGGTCCGCGTGGCGGACCATTCTGCTGCGGCGGCGGAACGGGTCTCGTTTTCTGCAGACTCTCGAATTGTGTGAGGGCTTGCTTGCTGGGATACGTGACCACCGGGGCCTGACCATGCATCTCCTTCTTTGGCAGTTGATCCAAAACGGCTCTCAAGCTGGATTCCGTGCCCAGCGATATGACGCTGAAACCTTTGGACTGTCCGTTTGCACGATTCTCAAAGAACTTCACCTCCTGCAAGTCGTTGACTCCAATGTCCCTCAGTGCATTGGAGATGTCCTGGTCCGTTGTCCACCAGGTGAGATTTCCCACGTATAGCTGATAGCGGCGGTTCATGGTCGGAGTTAAGCTACCACCGCCCTGATGGTACACTCCGTTGGGACCGCCACCTCCGCTCGACGCAGAGTCTCCCGAGCCTGGACCGGCTGCGCCATCTACCGAGGGCGTACCGCCGCCCCCGCCCCCAGAGGCTGCCGCCTCGGTGGGTCCGCCAATGTCATCGTAGAGATCAACGCCGTCGCCTCCGAATTCGTCCTAGAGTGGGTCGCGAAAGTGTGTGGGGGGTTCATTGAGCGTTAGTGTGACCAAATCGATGAAAATGTGTACATGCACGCACTTGGCACGCTAGCCATCGAATCGACTTTCGTCACCACTTACCTGGGACTGGCCGGCAAAGTCCTTGTCCAGGTCTTCGGCGTACAAGTCCAAGACCACATCGGCCATGGTTGCCACGAACTGAGCCTAATTTAGAATCGACCTAGTTCGTCTTCAGCGTTTGCTGCACTTTTCCACTTTCTCGCACACGCGCTTCGTACAGTTGTCTTTTCTAGCCGGAGCAGTTACCGGCGCGCGGCTCTTATACTCGCACTTGCGCTGGTTATCTCGCTTAGCGGCAATTAACTTTTTAATTGCTCTGCTTTTCACCGTATAAATGTATTCATCGCACAAAAATGTACATTCTTCTTATGTATACACAACTTTTTTCGTTGCGAAAATTTTCAGCAGCAGCGCTAAAAATGGCGGAGATGCGTAGTGTGACCGTTTGTGGCAGGGCTGCAGAAACATCGATGCGATGGTTCGATAGTATCGTAATTATTCGATAGAAACGTTGATGTATCTTCAGCTATATTTTGTGGACAGTTTTACAGCACTTAAAATAGCGAACATTTATTTAAATTAACATATATATATTTTATAAATCATGGATTGTACGAAACTTTGGGCTGGAGATCACAGTAAGTCATTCCAGGCCCAAGGCAAGAGGCATATCCCATCATGAAGGGTATGGAATTTTGCTCATAGACGCCTGTAAACAAATGCGCCCAAGGACCTGAGAAGGGAACCGGTTAATTAAGTGACATTTATAGATTATCCAGCTTACCGTGAGCATACACAGCCACGTCGCCGCCACCATGGGTCTCCTCCTCCATGGGCACGCCGTGGGGATAGCGCGCATCATTGTCACCAATATCTGAAGTTGTGAGATCAACGCGTTCCACCACGCCATCCTTCGATTGATAGAACTTTTGATATTCCGGACCGTTGGCGTAGGAGAGAGTGGCGTAGGGCTTGGAATCCACATCGCTCTTCTCTGAATTCAGGCCGGCAATGCTGTTATTCACATCCGGATAGCCGCTGATAGTTACGGTGTGTCCGTGGTCGGCGGTAACCACAATCAAAGTGTCCCAGGGATTCGTCAGGAGGCGAGCCTGTTTAATGGCATTCGAGAATTGGACAGTTTCATCGAGGGCCTTCTTGGCCTTGGTCTCATGATGGGCATGATCGATGCGACCGCCCTCCACAAACAGAAAATACCCCCCAGTATCCCTGGAAAGGATATTGATGGCTGACTCTGTCATCTCCGCCAGCGTGGGAGTGTCTATGCTCTCGTCCAAGTGATATGCCAAGTGCGAGGCATTGAACAGACCGAACAGGAAGTCCGTACTGCGAGCATCGTTGGCCAAGAGATCGGTGCGATTAAAGACCACCCGGGCGTTGCCTGGCTTGCTCTTCTGCCACTCCTCTATGAGGTTCCTACCATCCAAACGCTGACCCTGGTTCCCATACACATCCTTCTCTGTGTTGGGCAAGAACTTCGAGGTGCCGCCGCCCATGATCACCCGCAGGCGTTTCCCCACATCCCCATCTATAAGCTGCTGGGCAATGTCTGGGCACCTGCTAGAATTTTCTCCAAAAGAATTCACGTCAAAGTCGCTCTCAAAGTCCCGATTTGAGGTGTGGGCATAGACGCCCGCGGGACTCGCATGTGTTACCCGTGTTGTGGTCACCAGGCCAGCGGACTTGCGACCCTTCAGCGCCCAGGCGGCTATCGAGGAGAGGCGATTCTGCGGCAGCCTGGCTCCAGCACAGTCATTCAGCTGGACATCGGGGGTGACTCCAATGGTAAGAAAATTCGCTTTAATTCCGGACAAATAAGCGGACGCCGTGCACGCCGAGTCGGCGACCTGCTTGTTCGCACAGTACGTCTGCAATGAAGATAAATAATGAAGCAATTACGGTTCAGATCAGGTGCGGAGATGCGTACCTTTGAGAGTCCCACAAAGTTGAACTTCTCAAACTCCAGACGATTCCTTTCGCCCACTACTCCTCGCAATTGGCCATCAAAGATGCGGCTGGCGGTGACGGTGGGCACCGACATGCCATCGCCCAGGAATAGGATCACGTTCTTGGCCACATACTGATTCGGAGGCGTCGACAGCTTCTCGTAGAGTGTGCGCTGGGCGTCGTGGAACCAGAACTCCTTGCTCTTCAGCTCCTCCACGGAGTGCAGATTCCAGGCGCGCTCTGAAAGTGAAAAGCCAAAGAGTTGGTGGGATTGGCGTCATTCTGGCAGTGTATGTATATTTAATTTATTTATTTGATATTCTTTTATATTCGTTTAACACTTGATTAATCCATTTGGCATATGTTTTGTGTTTACTTTCTGTCACACTCTCACTCTTCATAGTCGAGATCTTATACTCGTATTTTATGGCTGAGAAGTCAAACCAAACCCGTTAGGTCTCACGCACCTGGCCCATATTTGTACTGACAATGGCACAAAACGAAGTGGAGTGCGAACGCTAACCAAAAACCAGGCATCGTTGTCGGAATTTTGATGAACCGCTGACAAGAAAGCACAAAAAACTTTCGACTGTTCCGACCTGATAGCGAGAATTGAGTCCGAGACCGACACAAAACCTTTAGAATGTCGTCTACGGGCCGACTAAACCGTATTTGTTACCTGGCTTCGTATTTATAGAGCTCTCAAAAACAGCCCAAAAACAAAACGACAGAACAGATATTGTTTAGGTGAGCCAAAACACCGATATACTCGCCACGGTACGGGGATAATAAATTTAAAGTTCGCCTTTGCATTAAAAACGTTCTAAATGAGCATTTCACCCAGGAATTAGGTATTTAAATGTTATCGGTCTTAATGCACGTATTTAAATTAGATGGGATGCATATTCGAGTCTCGCGAGTCCAGATCAGGTTCGTCGTTGCATCACTGCTGCATATCATTAACACATAAGATCGTCAAAGCCAGGCAAAGATGAAAGTAGATTATGCTTTTAACTGGAATAATTAATATATATTTGGGATGCTGGAGACATTTAAACTTTTTACTTAATTGCACGTCATAGATTATCAGGTTTTTGGTTATTATATTAATGGGTTCATTAACCTATTAACAGATCTAAAATGCACGTGGGCTGTCACGGCGACTTAATTAATATATTAGTGCTTTTTATCGCTTTATTAATGAGTGAATGACGGAGATGACTTTTATCTCTAATAAACAAGTTCTAATTGGTGAAAGCAAAACAACATTCAGCTGCAGTGTGATTTGAAAAGTGCGCCAAGTTGCAGTGTTGGATAGAGTCGTAATGTTATCGGTATCAAAGAAAAAAAATGAAATTATCAATGAAATAATGAAATTATCAATGAAACTATCAATGAAATAATGAAACGCAGTTATCGGTATCAATGAAAAAATGAAATTATCGCAGCAACTACGAATTGCACGAGTCTGGCAACGCCACAAAAGCGACGTCACATTAGTCTTATGTTGTTTTTTAGCAAAATTGCATTTCATAGTGTTGTTGGCCATTAATTAACAAATCAAAGAGTGTGCTGTAATAGTAAAATCAATTGATAAATGATGCATTAACATATAAGACCCATCCGAAGGTCACCAAGCGGAACAGCAAGGGCATACTAAAAAGTGGGTGGCGTTAAACAAAGGGCGACACTTTCGCAAACAACACACAAACACACAACACATATAGAGCGAACCGAGAGCCTTCCACCTGAGACGCATATCATGATATAAGTGTTGAGGCACACACGCAGCTAATTTAATTGTGTACCAATTGATTTGCAGGAAAGAACCTGCTTGTGTGCCACGTAAAAGTTGAAGGTCAGCAAGGTGTCGGCCTACGAAAGCATGGACTTGCAGCATATGGAGAACGGCGGTGGCCTGGGCGGTGGCGGCGGCGGAGGGGGCCTCAGCGAGATCGACTTTCAGCGTCTGGCGCAGATAATCGCCACCAGCATTCTGAAAGTCCAACAAAATGGTGCAGTATTACAGAAAGTGCCATCAGTTGGGGAAGACGATGACTAATACGAGTATTTTCTCTTTTTCAGTGTCCACCATGCAGCGCATGGTCAGTCAGCTGAACACCCCACAGGATTCACCCGAGTTGAAGAAGCAGCTGTAAGTACGAGCATGCCAGCTCAAAGTTATCAAATTATTAAAGATTGAGTGATTAAAATGCCTCCTCCATACAGGCACCAACTTATGACCTACACCAACCAGCTGGTGAACGATACAAACAATCAAATCAATGAGGTGGACAAGTGCAAGGAGCGGCACCTGAAAATCCAGCGGGATCGGCTGGTGGATGAGTTCACGGCGGCACTCACCTCCTTCCAGGTTCGTTTGGCTTTGTTTACGCTCGAAGATAAGCCCAAAAATGTCTTATGAGTCATTTTGAAAACGTTATCACAATTGCGATTTTGGCTAATTTCAGGGTGTCCAACGGAAGACGGCAGACATTGAAAAGAGTGCCCTGCGGCAGGCGCGGGGAGACAACTATAACATTGCCCGTCCGCCCGGCTCCTCGCGCACTGGCAGCTCCAACAGCAGCGCCAGCCAGGAGAACGGGTCCTTCTTCGAGGATAACTTCTTCAATCGAAAATCCAATCAGCAACAGCAGCTGCAGCAGACACAAATTCAGGAGCAGGCCGACCTGCAGGCGATGGAGGAGCAGGAGCAGGTCATACGGGAGTTGGAGAACAATATTGTTGGTGTCAACGAGATCTACAAAAAGCTGGGTGCCCTGGTCTACGAACAGGGCCTCACGGTGGACTCCATCGAGTCGCAGGTGGAGCAGACTAGCATTTTCGTCTCACAGGGAACGGATAATCTCCGCAAGGCGAGTTCCTATAGGGTGAGTGGTGAATTCTCTTGCGAGGTGCATAATCTATAATCGATTTCTACTTTTCCTACAGAACAAAGTTCGCAAGAAGAAGCTGATATTGGTGGCAATACTGAGCGCCGTTCTGCTGGCCATCATCTTGATACTCGTCTTTCAGTTCAAGAATTAGAGCGAACGAATGCGAATGCCAATGCGAATTATTCAAAAATCAAACTAGATAATTGTTGTGTAAAGACAAGTGTTGCCGCAAGCAGGGCCCCCCCTCCCTTAACCACCACCCTTCTTCGGACCGTAGACGTATTTGTGGCTTACAAGTTAAAATCTTAAATCAACTTCCACTATTGGCTAGAGATCGGGAAACACGAAAGACCGGCTGCATGGCACGCATTAAGAGAAGTATTCACACCGTGCTGCATGCTGCTTGCTGCGTGCTGCACGTGCGCATATGTTTTATTCGCTTTAAAATTGTATCTTATTCTTATATTTTATAAATGTATTTCTGTACTTTAATATTTACCCCGTACGCACCCTGTATATTGATATATTGATTAACAAAACTGTTGGCTGCAGATTCTAATTATGTCAGCGCTTTGCATTGTATTTAGGCTTAAGATGAACATGAAGATGAACATGACATGAACGGGCATATGGAGTAACACACACACACACACCGAAAAGAATAAAATAATACAGAGTAATCATGAAAACCAACCTACATACATACATATATCGAAGAGATCCAATCCCTATCCTGTCGAGCACTTCATTTGGGGCCATGAAACGATCAATGAATGGAGGCCTCCCCCCGCCCCAACTCTTTGGAGGCATTCGAAATATGCCTGATCATTGCTGTGGTCCTCCTTTTTCCTTTAGCCTTAACGATCATTAACGATCGATATGCCGCGGCCCATTGTTACGCATGCTTTAGCGGCTTACCCCGATCCGACTGGGTGTTCACTCCGACTGCTCCTACACACATACATATCTACTACTATTAATGCAAAGGCAGACGCAGCATGGATGTCGATATGTGGTGGAACACTTGAGCGGTCGGTCGTCGTTCGGTTGTTGAGGTGTGTCAAGTAAAGGGTTTCCTCGTCGTCGTGGATTCGGACCGGACTCTGGCCTGCATACAAATTGAGTTTAAATTTTTTGCCAATTCACTGACATTGATAGTTCGTTTGGGCATCATTTGTGTGCAGTGCTGTGGTGTGGTGTGGTGGCTTCTTATCCACTTGTTGGCTTATCGAGTGGTTTTCTCGCATGCATTTAAGTGCAGCTCATTTCCTTCTCTAACTCTTGCCTCGGGGTCTGGGGTCTGGGGCCTGGGGCCTGTGCTGCCCAACAATAATTTCTCGCCAAGTCATGTAGTTATTTCTGGACCAAGACGATCATATACTCTGGCGCTGAAAGAGTATATCAACTTGATTATTGATTGAAAAACTGCTAGAGTAGAGTAGAGTGGAAAAGAGCAACTAGAATTCTGCTGAGAAATTCCCCAACTGACTGTGGTTGTTGCTTTTGGGTCTGCTTGCCCTGTCAGTGGCTGTCCAAATACGTCACCGAATTCCCTGTGCTGCTCGATTGAGAACTATTGATTGCGCTCTCTATGGGGTCCATGGGGCCCCAAGGGTTAGACCACGGCACGGCCTAATCACATCGATTATGAGTACATGTGGCCCTTGGCAGGTTGTGGACATATCCATTCATAAACCAAATCCAAAATCCCAATCCAAATCCAGCCCCGAGGCCACAGGTCACGTTGCGAGCCCGACATATTCGAGTGCCGAAGAAGGTGTTGGAAATTAACAGAAATATGCACACCTACGACATGGACACCACACCGAACCGAGCAGAGCCTAGATGTAGGTACCAGCAGGTAGGCCGAGGCACAATTCTTGTGGCTGTTTGCATAGGCGGCCGACTGGACGACGCGACGTCTGAATCCCTGGCCCATGATAATATTGACACATTGGTCAGGCCTATGTGCATCCGAATCCGAATCTCATTTGCAAAGTCATTTTGTACAAATAAATCCAGCCCTCTGTTTCCTCTGTCTCCTCTGTCTTTTCTCTTACCTCTCTGTTTCTGGCCTTTTCCCAACTTAATGCGCGAACACACAAACCGCATGTTTTGACTTTGGCCAATATGGTAATGGCTATGGCAATGGCAATGGATGAAGGATGAGGGAATTTCCGTATCTTGGCTAAGCGGTGGATTGACTTACCAACTCGGCAACTTGCTGGCCAGGATTTTGGTGCTGGGAAAATTGGGGGAATCGGCAAACGGCAATCCAGAATCGGGAATCAGAAACTGCAGCAGCCTTCCGGTGATGGTGATGGTGAAGGTGATGCTGAACCCGTCTAATCCCCCGTACACATTTCACACGTTTCTTAGACCAAAGATCTCGATCCCTTCAATCTGCCATTCGATGATTGCCGATGATGATGTGTGTACCGTATAAACATCCGGTTTTGTGGCATTTCCCAAATCAATAAACTTATTATTATCCCATTTTTTCCATTTTCCATTTCCCATTTTTAACTGGAAAAACTCTTAATTAAGCGTTTGCTTTGGTATTCATTTTTATGAATGAAAATCTAAGATGGGAAATCTGCCCCCAACCACATCTATGTATGTATGTATGTATGCCTCCTCTTGAACCCCACATGATATTTCTTATTACAGAATTTTAAGTGGAATACGGTGCGGGTCGGGTCGGTCGTAGAGGAGTGAAGGTGTAAATCTTTTGAATTTTTATTTAAAACAAAAATGCCAAATCAAAAGTTTTCGTTTGATTGTTCTACCTGTTGGTTGTTGAGTGGGGCAGGGGCAGGGGCAGGTGCAGGGACCGTGGGGGTAGCCACTTTCGACAGTTTTATTAATGAAATTCGCAGAAAAACCTGCCCACTGATGGGATCCCTCTCTATCCATCTATCTGTATCTCTTGTTCACTCCCTGTACGAGAATCTCTTGGTCCGTTTTTATGAACTGCTTGAGTAGGCTGTGCTGTGCCCCTGCCACCCCCCTGCGATCGCTAGAATGGGGCGCACACTTCTAAACAAATTGGGTGTCAAAAAGTGCGCACATTTCAAAAGATTTAACCGTTTTGCAGGCCGCCTTCTTGCCGCTGCCTTTGATCTCAGCCGCCCCCAACTGCAGACGCCGTTCATGCGGCCGCCACGAGTTGTGGCTACCGATCCGAAGGCAGAGGAGCAGTCTCAGTGGCAAGTGCGCCGCTGCTGCTGCACAGTGGGGTAAAGCGAGTGCTGTTTCATGGCGGAGAACTCCAAATATTCGATTGTTTAATGGGATACCATAAAGTAGAAGATATGCAAGTTATGGCAGGGATACTCGTATATAGACTAAATCAACATTTTAAATTAATTAAAACAACCACTGTGCCATCCATCAGAGATCTGCTCCCAATATAAACACACTCTCCTTCCTCTATATCTTTTATCTGATTCGCTTTTCATATACGAGCTACCACGCGCCTCGCCTACTGTGTGAAAAAAGCGTCAACACTGCAATAAAAAAAAAAGGAAAGGGAAACAATTTTCGCCAAACACGAGCGCTATCTGGGGGCTGTTTTTTAGCACAGCAGAACAGAAACAGAACCCCCTCCCCTCACCCCCCTAGGATGGTAATACAACTACAAAGAGATCGCAGATCAATCCGAGCGCATCGCAATCGCAACTGTAGCGCGGGGAGTGCAGCATTGAGTTGTCTGTGCGAAGCCGCAGGCGGGGATTAGCCCGGACAGACAATTGAATGGAGGATTTGGTACCGTATACACGGTAGATGGATGCCACCGTGCTCGAGGAGTTCCCATTGTGATCATCTATTCTCTCGGAAGGTGTCTAAAGCGGCTCCTGCCTCCCTGGCTGGCCACTATCTCTACTCGCATGCGTAACTGTATGTCTTTTTGTTGGCTTTGTTGTTGGCCCATTTGCCGGGCCGCTGCTTTGTTGGGTAATTGTTTGTTTACGAATTGGCAACAGAAACAGCAGCCGCCAGAGCAGCAGACAAAAGGCCATGGCCAGGTCGAATTTTATACATAGAAATAGAAATAGATCATCGGGTTCACACACGTACCAAAAAAATGAATCAAATCGGAAAGAAAGCTGCAATAACAAAATGATCATCATCGGATGATCGGCCTCATCCTCCCATCCTCCATGCTCAATCCTCATCCTCAATCGTAGCCCCAGTCCCAGTCCCAGTCCAGTGTCTCTCAATCTCTTCTCCATGCCGAGCGGACGGTCGGAGGGCTGTCAAATTATTTCTGGTTGCCCATTCTGCTCGCCTCGTTTATCGTTTTTTGATTGTTTCTTTTTCTACATTTTCTGTTTTTCTTCTCTTCTCTTTTTTTCTTTCTTTTTTGTTGGTTGGTTTTCCGCTGGCGTTTCCCCGACTAATTATGCCTGACATTAATGTCACTCTGTATTAAATATAGCGCGGCAGCAGATGAGATTTCGAGGCTCTCCTGCCGCTCGCTCCATTTCATATTTGGAAGTAAGGGCCCTGCCCTGCCCTGCCCTGCACTACCCTGCACTGCCCTGCCCAGCGCTATGGAGATGAGATCCAGGGATCGGTATCCGTGGATTGTGGGGGCCTCTGCCTCGGCAACGTGTTGACAGCAAGTGACAGACACATTCATTAGGCAGAATGATTCATATTGGAGGGGATGGGCTGCTCTGTAGGAATGGTAGGGGTAGGGGGGTAGGGGCATGGGGCACTGATCTGACAAATGTTCAACTAATTTGAAGAGCATTAGACCAGATGATTTACGGATTTGACTTGCGGTTAGTTGAGTTCCGTCAATAATATGGCTGGCTGATACTTAGTCGGGTCGGGGCGGGGCATGAGAAATGGGAGAAAGATTTGGGGTGGAGAAAGTGTTGGGATGCAATCAGAAGAGTTTTAAAGAGCATTCGAAATAAGCAAAGGGATTTCCGTACACTTCTCAAATCAATGTAACCTTTCCTCCTGCTACAATCCCCTCCAATCCAATCCTTTCATTTCCATTCCCATTCTTTATATTCGAATATTCTGCTGTCAATCCCTGAACCAATTTTCACTTATTGAATGGAATGGCAACGGTCAAACCAATTATGGATTACGTCCTCAAGTCCATATACGCGAATAATATTTTGACAGTAAATATTGCTCTGGCAGGGAAGCGGAATCTCGGGGGAGTTGGATGTGTGTGTGTGGCGCACATCATTTCATATGCAGGCCCTGGGCATAGCTCGGACACGAAATGGGCGCGGCCAAGTAGCCGCCGGTTGCTTGGACAGAGAGGGCGACAATGCGAAAAATTGTGCAATCGATTGGAGGGGAGCCACAGCCAGAGCCACAGCCACAGCCAGTGCCGAGCGCCAGAACACAAAAAAAAGGGGGGAGATTTTGGGGCTCGAGCCATATGTTAAATCAAAGAAGAAATCAGGAGTGGAGCTGCCATGGGGGGGACTCAAACTGGGGTTGGATGGAGCCACTTGTGTGTGTGGGATCCTGATTGTTTTTTATCCATAACAAGCCCGAGGTCACAATTTATAATAGACTCTCGACTCCTCGACACAGAGACTCGTATATAAGTATTCATATATATTTTGTATCTATTGC